GGCAGGCAGGCGAGTCTTTGACTGAACGAGTGAGCGGGGCAGGCAGGCCAGGCTCGGAGTGACTGAAAATGAAGCAAACAAGCAGGTGAATCTTTGACTGAAAATGAAGGAAGCAAGCAGGTGAATCTTTGAATTAACGAAGTAGGCAAATATTTGAATGAGTAAAGTAAGTAAGCAGGTGAATCTTTGAGTGAATGAGTGGGTGGGGTGGCTGGATGGGGATGGGAGAGAGGAATGTGGGGGCAGGTGGGCACTGACTCAGGGATGCTCTGCTGCCCCTTCCAGAGGCAACCTGTATAACCGAGATGTCCCTGATGATGTCTTGCTGGAAGCAGAATGAATTTAGCGACACAATTTGTTCCAAGGAGATCGAAGACTTTTTTGACTGTGCTTCAAAGGCTGAGGTGACAGGGATACCCCTGGGATGGGAGGGAGTGGCATTGGGTAGGATGCCTGCCTGGGCTGGGGAGGGGGCTGGCCCCCTCTTGTCAGGACCCCCAAGATCTCTCATCCTTGAGAGGGGAGATCCAGGAGAAAAGGGAGGGTATCCACCTACAGCAGACACATTTTCAGGTAGATCTAAAAGGTCATTTGGAGGTCACAGGTTTCTTGTATTTGAGATGAGGAGGAGGAACCAAGAACAGGACAAAAGATTTGGGCAGGGTCCCTTTTCTCCCCCTAGAGTTGTTGGGATTATGGCTAGGGGGCTGTGAGTTTTAAGTCAGAGGGAATTTTGGGTGTCAACACTGTAATTACTTTTTTTTCTTATAGGCAGAGCGGAAGCAGAAGGCAAAACAGGAATTGCTGGGCTCCTCTGGGCATTTGACTCCCAAGCAAACAAATAAATTGTTGGGGAGGTTTCCTAATATATCCTACATTATCTGAAGGTGTTACGTAGCTTTTTAAGGACTGGCCTCATGGAAGCAACTTGGTGGTGTTTGGACTGAGTGACCTCTGAGTGGCAGAGGACATGGTCTCACCCCTGTGGGGTTGTGATTTGGGTGAGAGTTCTGCTTTACCCTGAAATAAAATCTTTACAGAGAGCTTGGGCTGTGTTGTGGATCAGGTCTCCCTTTGCCGCTCAACCCCTGAACAAACCCCCAGCCTTTTCCAGGGCCCTGGGACCTTCTTTGCTTCATAGAGAAGATACATTAACCTGCCTTGGGAGTGGACCCAGGTTTAATCTCCTCAAGGTCACTGAAAGACACAAGATCCCTGGAGATGGAAGGAATTTTAGAGCTCATCTGGTCTGGATGTTGATGTTTGCTTTGAATGCCTTTTGCTGCTGGGGCATGGGAGGCCAGGTATACATAAAGCCTTTTGTTTCCGTGGTCATTGATTCATCACTGCTGTGCAGGGTTGTATGGGGGAACATGGTCAAGAGTAGAGGATTTTGGATTTTATGGGTCACTGAGCATATCAGTGATGACTCTCATTCTCTGACTGTCTTTCAGACTCCTACAGTGTGAGAGGCAGACAGTAGACTCACAGTTTAGACCAGAGGTTCTTAATCTGCAGTCTGTGAACTTGTTTTTTTAAAAAATATTTTGATAACTGTATTTTAACTTTATTTCCTTTGTAATCTGATGTATTTAATTTTATGCATTTAAAAGCATTATTCTGAGAATGGGGCCATAGGCTTCACTGGACAGCTATAAAAGGTTAAGAACCCTTGATTTAAACAAACATTAAGTAGCCAATGTGCCTAAGGTACTGTGCTGGGAGGCAGTGGGTATAGTGGATGAAGGAAGACAGACCCTGTCTTCAAACAGCTATTATTCTGATTGGAAGAATAATACTGGTACCACAATAATTGAAACAGTGCAGAATGTGATAAGTGCAAAGGAAGGGTCCTAGTTGTGAGTGAAAGTTTAGGAGGGGAGAGATCACTTTTAGCTAGGGAGATCTGGTAAAGTTCCTGGGGGAAGATTGAGCTTAAGGTAGGCCTTGAGGGGAGGGAAGGAATAAGTACAGAAGGAGGGAGTCCTCTGCAGGCCTGGCCCTGACATAGGAGAAGCCAGGAAGTAGTTAAGTTTGGCTGTGTTGGCATGTTTTAAATCTTTTTAGTAAAACCATACATATTAAGAATTATTTTCATGGTCTAAAAGCCCATTCTATACTTTCCTCTTTAGGAAGTAAGTAGTACAAAAATTAAGGCAATTTTTAGGGAAATAGATGAAGGATGAAAACCTCTCATCTAGATAAGATTATGGCCTCCCCACCCACCTGAAATGATGAGCACTCTGACTCACTTAAAAGCAGTGACCTCTTCTACTTTTAAGGTGTTAAGATACTGATTACTGATCAGAACCCTTTTTCTGTCCTTAAAGGAAATGGTCTAGGAAGAGTGGTGATTTATGGAATATTAACTCAAGATTGTATTTTAACATGTTAACAGTCTTTTCCTTGTTCAAGATTCCTATGTTACCTAAAATCCCCTTAGGGCAGAGTTATATTGGAAAGCATGGAAGACTTTGCTAGTTTAGATATCCTCAAGCTAGCGATGCCTGGCTACAAATTAGTAATAAATTAAAATTGTTTCTGGCAAATAAACCTAAAAACATAAAGGATAGTAGTATTTTTTTCTTCAAAAGGGGAAAGGACTAAGTATTTACATAGTACCTACTAAAATGCCAGTCACTGTGCTAAAAGCTTTTTACAGATATCTGATTTGACCCTTATAACAACTCTTTGGAATAGGTGCTATTATAATACCCATTTTATAGATGAGGAAACTGAAGTAAACAGGGGTTAAGTGTTACTTGCCCAGAGTGGGTGTCTGGGACAGGATTTGAACTCAGGAAAAGTAGATTTGGATCCAGGTTGTGGAGGGCCTTGAAGATACCAGGATATAAGGACTTTATTCAGTAGGTGATGGGAGTGAACCACTAAATATTTTTGAAAGATAACTGAATAATCATTAGAGGGGTCATATAAACAGCACCGTGAAGGATGGATTGGAGGAGAAAAAGTAGAGGCAGGTAGTTTCATTAACTTAAGTAATCTAGGTAAGTAGAGGTTAGACACCAGGGCAGTTGCAGTGGCAAATAGTAAGGAGATTGGCAAGGAGAAATATTGTGGAAGTAGAGTTGACCCCACTTGGCATTTGATGGAACCTGACAGTGAAAAAAAGATAGCAAAGTTTTTGAGCCTGGGGGACTAGGAGGATGGTAGTCAAAAGCAGAAATAAAAATTAAAGGTACAAGGTTTTGAAAGACGATGTTGAATTTGAGGTACTGATGACCAGCATGGTAGGGGTGGAAAATTATGCCTGGTGTCTTTAGCTCTTAGTGCCATGAAGAGTCTCGTCCCTTTAGAACTAGTTAGAATCCTACCTGCTATAGAAAGTCTTTCTGCTAATGCCCTCCCCCTCGTTATCTCCGATTTACCCAGCATATAGCCTGTTTGTACAAAGTTTTCGAGTTGTGCCCCATTAGACTAAACTCTTTTAGAGCAGGGATTGTCTTTTGCCTTTTTTTTTTTTTTTTTGGGGGGGGGCTATCCCCAGAGCTTCACACAGTGCCCCAGTATAGTGGACGCTTCATGAATGTTTATTGACCCACTGCCAGAGCTGCGCATCCCGCCTGGGAAGTACTTCCTTCTGACAGCATGCTGGTGACCTCTGCCTAATTCGTGTGGGGACACAATTTGGGCGTGGGAGTTAAGGGGCAGATGGGGCGTTTCATGATCGGAGTCCCGCGTGTCAGATGGTTGGGAGTGGGGGGTGTGGTTCGGGGATGAGGAATCAAGATCGAAGGAACCCAAACTTCTCGGCCAGCCCTACTCTATCATTGTTTTCGAACTCCATGTCCCTGGACTACGACTCCCAGAAGACCGCGCGACGCAGAAGTCGGAGGAGCACAAAGATCCCAGGGATTCCTGAGCTGCCAGTCTGAAGCCTACGATTCCCGGCATGCGTAGCGCGGCTCCACGCTCCCTTGACGCCCCCCGCCCCCGCCCCGTTCAGGAATCCGGGGTCACTCGGCCAAGTTTTGGGGAGCCCCTTTGTAACGTGCCGCGTGAAGGGAACGAGGAGGCGGGAGGAGCTGGGAGAGTAGGAAACGAAACCTTTGTAGCCAGAACTAGGTTCCTTTTCGGGCCCGCAGGGATAGGGGCCACTCGGAGGCCCAGAGGAGGCGGAAGTGGAAGTGGCCGGCGCGGCCGGAAGTGCGGATCAGCTGATGGGGGAGGCGGCGCCGCGGCTGCTGGGAGGCCCCGGTGGCGGCAGCAGCGGGTCCCTGTCCCGGTCCCAGTCCCTGAGTCCGCGAGCCCGGCCCCGTGCGTGCGCCCGGCGCTGAGGCGCGGCCCCGTCCCGAGCACGGCCAGGGCCAAGGCCTGACCCTGGAGGCCATCCCGAGCGCCCGGACCTCCCCCCCGAGCCGGCCCGCCCCCGAGGCCCGCCCGGGCCTCTCCTCCTCCATCTTCAGCTTGGGCCCCATGGAGCTGATGTTCGCCGAGTGGGAGGACGGCGAGCGCTTCTCGTTCGAGGATTCGGACCGCTTCGAGGAGGACTCGCTCTGCTCGTTCATCTCGGAGGCCGAGAGCCTCTGCCAGAACTGGCGGGGATGGCGCAAGCAGTCGGCGGGGCCGAACTCCCCCACCGGGGGCGGCGGCGGCGGCGGCGGCGGGGGCCGCAGCCGAGGTGAGCTGGGGACGCCGCGGGCGCGCAGACGCGCACGCACGGGCGGGCGGAGGGCCGAGCGGATCCCGGGACACTTTGTTCGCACGCACGCACGCACACACGCGCCCCCGGCCCCCGCATCCGGAGCGGCCCCTGCGCGGCGGATCCGGCAGGAGTTGGGGGGGGTCGCGTGGCTTTTGTCCCGGGGCTCGGGGGAAGGGTGCTATCAAAACAAGGGGAGGAACCCCCGGGCAAGGCAACTTTTTTGAGGGGCGGGCAGCCGAAGGCAACCGCACGAGGGGTGACAGCTCGGCCAGTGTGGACCCTCGCGGTCTCGGTCAGTGGGCTGGGAGGGACCTGTAGAGGTCATCCTACAGGCGAGACAACAGGAACCCGAAGAGGGGTCTGTCGGGGACTGGCCCAGGGGACGCCGTGGCAGAGCCCGACGTCCAAACTGGGAGTCCACAGACCCGGTAGACTCGGGAGTCCTGGCTTGGGACGCTGCGGGATGCAGCAGGGATGTGAGAAGGGTGTTCCAGGAGACCCCAGCCTTGCTCTGGGAAGGGGGAGGCAGCTGTGTTCAGAGGGAAAGTGTCAGCCCACATGGGAGCCCCCCGTTGGGAGCTAGGCTATCGGTCCAGGGTTCTCCTGGTTGGGGTCTTCAGAGGAAAAGGAGAGATGGTTGTCTAAGTACTTGGGAGTGGGGTATGCCTAGTGCGTGGTAGAATCCCGTTACACAGTCTGGAACTGAAGTCTCTTTGCCCTGAGATGCCTTTCCAGTCTTTTTTTCTTCTTCCGTGAGCCTTTTTGGAACTTTCAGAAATAGCCAGCAATACTCTAACGGATTTGGGTGTGGTTGGGTGGAAGGACTCCTTTTCAAGACTGTGGGTTTGACCAGATCCCTTACAGATCTCAGATCTCCCACTCCCCTCAAGATAATGGATTCTGAAATGGACCTGGAAAGAATGTGATCCGAGGACCCCTCTTCTGGGCAGTTGAGAAGGGGAATCAGGCTGTGATTGTTTTCTGCTTGTTCCCAGAGAGCCATGTTTTACAAAACCACCTATCAGATTTATTTTCTTTACGTACTTTATGTGAGCATTCCAATACAGGAAAGATAACAAAAGAAAGTAGGAACAAACCAACATAATTCTACATGTAACCTGTTTTGTTTACTGGTTGTTAAAAGAAACAAAAGCAATTTATATTCACTTTAACGAGGTTTTCTAATGTGTTCTGGATTTTGTTTCTGTTTATTTTAATGTTAACATAGTTGTATATACTTAGGGTTTGCTTTATTCAGTCTTCATATGTCTTTATTGAATTACATTTTTATTTCTTATGGTTCAAAAATACTCCCCACATTCATATATATTCATCTGTTCCCCCCCTCCAAAAAAAGAGACGAATAACTGATTTCTTAATTTTTTTCTATTTTTGAACATTTGGGGTTTCCCTTCCCACATCCCTTCCAGCACCAATGCTTTTAGGATGTAAACCTCATGGTGGGATACAAAGGATGTAAACATTTTTGTAACTTACTATACAATTCCATATTGTCTTCTGAAAGATTGAAATAATTCACAGCATTGTGTTCATTTTTATATAGAAGTTCAATCTGTTTACATTTAAGTGTATAACAGTTGTTTAATTTTTTTCCTGGCTGTCCCATTATGTTAACTGCTTTATTAACATGGAATATAACCCACTGTTTTACTAGTATCAGTCTAATCCTAGTTGGGCTGGTGCACACTCACACCATCCTTCATTAACACTAAACATCCACTCCCAAATTCATACTTCCGTTGATATGAAAATTTAAAATCCCTTCCCCCTAGTTCCAGATTGGAGTTTGAGTTTGCTGGCACTACTGTGCCATGGTGGAAGAGTCCTGGAAGGAGTCAGAGAACCTGGCTTCAGGTCTTGGCTCTGACCCTTAAGTCACTCTGTGACTTCAGGCAAATCTCTTACTGGCACTGGACCTGATTTCCTCCTTTGTAAAATGAGGAGATTGGACCAGAAGGTCTTTTTCATTCTGTGATCTAGTCACCACTTTATCTGCCTCCTCCCAGTGCATTTTTTTTTTAAATTTGTGGGTGCGTACCCAAACTGGATTATTTCTTTCTTTGTAATGAATTGGTAGCTATTATTTCCTTGATAACCCTCTTGAAAAATGGCACATCAGCCAAACAGTTTCCCAGTAGAGCTTTCTGGCATGCTTCTCTGGGACAGAAAATAATTTACTCATCTCTAGGCACAGCAGTGATTTAACTTTAGCTTAGGAGAGATAGCACATGGCTGTGTGTGCACATGCAGACTTTGGAAAACCCTTCTGGGGCCCCTTGCGTGGCCAGCCATTCTTCCCTCTTGTCACCTCTCCTTCTCTTCATGTCCCTTAAAATGAAATCTTGCCACCCCTTTACCCCCAGGGACCAAAGTCCAGGCCATGGGGCCCTCTGGGGAAGGGGCCTGGGTGGACATAAAGGCTCATGTTACAGCCCTAGGGCTGAGGGGCATGACTGCAACCTTAGTGGAAATTTGTCCAGAAATACCACATTGACTATCTTTTTTGCCTTTGGTGAATGTGGAATGGACCCATCTAGGACTTTTCCCTCCCCCTACTCCAGGAACTGAGGCTCTGACAGCAGAAGCTGTTCTTCCTTGGCTTCCCCTGAGATAACCTGCTGTCCTCTCTGAGTTCTAGTGTGTTAGGAGACCACTCCCTCCCTCCCAGCCACATTATTCCTCCCAGAGCCTTCCCTTTGGGCTGTTCTGTTGGAGGGGACCCTAGCAGAGAGGGCCAGAAAACAGGCACTAAGAAATGGGAAGCCTAGACTGATGGTGATAGCATTGGAATATGAGCAGGCACAAGCCCTTTTTCTATGTCAGAGGGATCACTGGAACAAGGCTGTCCTGGACTAGGGATTTCTAGGGGAAACTTCTGGCATCCTCCATTGTAGAGGGGGTGAAGAAGTGGGGGGTGGACATCTTTCTTTTCTCCCTTGGGTGAATAAGTCTTTGGGACAACACAGCCTGTGAGATTCCCTCTGCCCCTTTATATCACAACCCCAAATCTTTTCTCTGCCATGGGAGCAGATCCCAGACAGTTCCTGTGGGTAGAGTTAGGAAGGGAGTTAGTGCCATGTTCCAGAGTGGATGATAATGTTGGTGGCCCTCCCCTCACTCCCTCTTGGTAGATGGCCTGGTGATCCCCTTGGTGGAGCTGTCGGCAAAGCAGGTGGCATTCCACATCCCTTTTGAGGTGGTGGAGAAGGTTTACCCCCCAGTGCCTGAACAACTACAACTTCGTATTGCCTTCTGGAGCTTCCCCGAGAATGAAGAGGACATACGGTACTGCCACGGGACAGAACTCAGAGGCTTTGGGGTGGAGCCTGGGGGATTGGGGCTGTGTGGGGGGCAGGGAGTACTAGGCCACTGCTGTAGAGGAACCTGTTGAGTTTTGTGTGTGTGTGCGTGTGTGTGCGCGCACGCGCATGTGCTCTCCCTCTCTCCTAGGCTCTATTCGTGCTTGGCTAATGGTAGTGCAGATGAATTCCAGCGTGGGGAACAGCTGTTCCGAATGAGAGCTGTGAAGGATCCACTACAAATAGGTATGGACAGGTGGTAGGGGGTTTGGGGTGGGGCTGGGAAGCCACTGCCTGGCCTCGCTCCCTATAACTTGTGCTCCCCTCCCTCCTTGTCCTGGCAGGGTTCCACCTGAGTGCCACAGTGGTGCCCCCTCAGATGGTTCCCCCTAAGGGTGCATACAATGTGGCCGTGATGTTTGACCGATGCCGGGTCACCTCCTGCAGCTGCACCTGTGGGGCTGGTGCCAAGTGGTGCACCCATGTAGTGGCGCTTTGCCTCTTCCGGATTCACAATGTGAGAGCCCTCTCCAACTGCCCCCCACTCCCTCTTGTGACCTCTTCCCCTGCCCCCCCCCAGCCCAACCCTAGCTTACTCATTTTACCTTCAATGGTACCTTCAGGAAATGGATAGCACTCTGCCTCTTTCCAAACCCCTTATGCCTGTGCCATCTTTCTTTTGGCCTGGCGTATCTCTTCCTGCTTTCCCCCAATGTCTCGTGTCTTCCACGCAGGCTTCAGCAGTCTGCCTTCGGGCTCCTGTCTCAGAATCCCTGTCTCGGCTCCAGAGGGATCAGCTGCAGAAGTTTGCTCAGTACCTCATCAGTGAGCTTCCTCAACAGGTCTGTGGCTCCGACCCTCTTCCCCAGCTGTGGGCTCCCTCTCTCCTTTGGATCGTTCTCTCTGTCTGGTCTGTGCTTCTGTAGGCTCACCAGCACCTTTCTCTCTGTCCCTACCCCTTCTCCCGCAAGATCCTTCCCACAGCCCAGCGCCTCCTGGATGAGCTCCTGTCCTCCCAGTCTACTGCCATCAATACTGTGTGTGGGGCCCCAGGTGAGTGAAGTCATGGAGGAGGGCAGAATGAAGGTGATGTGATGGTGGGGCTGAAGTAAGGAGGCCTCCTCCCCCAGTGAGTGGGGCCAGTTCCCATATTTGTAGATTGATGGGAATGGGAACCAAAAGGGGGCTAGAACCCACATGCAGTTTTCAAGCGGTGAGGTAGCTATGCCCCACCACAGCTGAATGTCCTTGGGGACCAGTGTCTTACCTATGATTGTGTTGTCCCCAGACCCCACTGCAGGTCCTTCAGCTTCTGACCAGAGTACCTGGTACCTGGATGAGTCCACACTCAGTGAGAACATCAAGAAGACCCTGCACAAATTCTGCGGCCCCTCCCCAGTAGTCTTCAGGTGACCCCTGCCCTCTGGCTAAGAAGCACAAGTGGGCTGGTGGGCTGGGGGTAAAGTGGAAGGAGGTGAGCTTCTGCGAGTCCCATGTTAAGACTGTTGACCAGTCTCGTGCCCTCCTAATGCCTCCTACCTTTTGTTAGTGAAGTGGTGAGTGTGAGGATGGTGCTAATCCTCACATTTGCAGAGTCTCTATAACTTGGCGGTGGGGAGAGCACTAGGCCTGCAGTCAGGAAGGTCTGAGTTCAAATCCTTCCTCAGACACTTACTAAGATTGTGGGCAAGTCACTTAACCTCTTACCTGCCTCAGTTTCCTGTAAAATGGGGATGATAATAATAATAGCATCTACCTCATATTGTTGTTGTAAGAATCAAACGAGGTAATATTTTTCAGGTACTTAGCAGAGTGCCTGGCATGCAGTAGGTGCTATATAACCCTCACCCCCAGTGCATTCGTCTTCATTGTCTTCACAACTTTACTGTGAGACAGGTAGAATGGAGGTTATCATCGCTAAGGAATTTGTCCAGGTTCATTCCCCCCAGCCCATTGCTTTCCTGTGTCCTGGCCCCTTGGAGTCATCAGCTTTTGACTTTATACTTCCTTTAATCTTCAGCTCATCCTCTTTTCGTTTACTTCTGCCCCCTTTCTCCTTCCATAGTGACGTAAACTCAATGTATTTGTCATCCACGGAGCCCCCAGCAGCTGCTGAATGGGCGTGTCTCCTGCGTCCTCTGAGAGGACGAGAACCAGAGGGTGTGTGGAACCTGCTGAGTATTGTTCGTGAGATGTTCAAAAGGAGAGACAGCAACGCTGCTCCTCTGTTGGAGATCCTCACAGACCAGTGTCTCACCTATGAGCAGGTAACTCTTGCCCTCTCCTCCCCCCAATCCCGGCATCTCCCAGGCTCAGGTAGGTAATGGAGAGAAAGCTGATTGGTGGTTCCTTGTGGAGAGTCTGAGATTGAGATGCTGGCATTCTCCATTCTTTTCTGATACCACTGTTCCCTTTTTTCCAGTGTGATTTCATTTTCAGTTCCAAATTCTCTCCCTCCCCCACCCATTGAGCAGGCAGGAAAAACAAAGCCCATTACACATCTGTATAGGCATCCAAAACAAATTCCTGCATTAGTCGTGTTCAAGAAAGAAAGAAGGAAGGAAAAGCACGTGTGCTTCAATCTGCACTCTTGTGTCCCTCACGCCCCCATCTGGAGGTGGTTACAATGTTTCAACATGAATCTTTTAGCGTTGTGGTTGGTTATTGCATTGATCAGAGTTCCTAAGTCTTTCACAGTTGATTACCATTGCAGTATGGTGGTAACTGTGTGCGTTGTTCTCTGATTCTGCTCACTTCACTCTGCTTCAGATCCTACCAGTCTCCCAGGTTTCTCTAAAGCTGTCCTCTTGATCATTTCTTAGGGCCCGGTAACAATCTCGCCCTTCATTTAGAGACCCCAGGCTAGAGGTGGAACATCTTCCCTAGGGTGGAAACCAACACCCCCCTTCCTGCCCTTCCCTCCCCAGATCACAGGCTGGTGGTACAGTGTGCGAACTTCAGCCTCCCATAGCAGTGCCAGTGGGCATACAGGCCGCAGTAATGGGCAGTCAGAGGTGGCTGCCCATGCATGTGCAAGTATGTGTGATGAGATGGTTACACTGTGGAGGCTGGCTGTGCTGGACCCCTCGATTAGTCCACAGCGGTGAGTCGTCGGTGTCCCTTTCTTACTGGTCCCCCTACATAAGATCCCACAGGACTCTTCATTTAGCTTTAGCACATAAACTGTTTGCAAGAGATCACACTGTGGGATTCTTACAGGCATCTGGAATCTAGGTCCAGGAGAAGTAGGGATGGCCCTGGGGTGTAGGGAGTACCACTAGCTTGTACTTAAGAGTGTAGAAGTCACCCTGCCTGACCTTGGTTGCCTTCCTCATCCCCAGGAGATTTTCCTCTCTGCCCTAGTACCTGTGGTCTCTATTGCTGGTTGAAATAATGTTGTGACTTTGGGAACCATAGGGTATTTACCCCACAGAAGCTTTCCCCTGTGTCTTTCACCCTTTCTTCCCCTCGATTGTTGGCAGGGGCATAGCTGCCCCCAATATCCTATTGCCTTTGTCCACACAGTCGTCGGGACCTGTGTGCCCAGCTGCGCCAGTGGCACCTGAAGGTGATTGAGAATGTCAAGCGGGGTCAGCACAAGAAAGCCCTGGAACGGCTCTTTCCAGGTTTCCGGCCTGCGGTAGAGGCCTGTGACTTCAGCTGGGAGGAGGCCTACCCACTCCCTGGTGTTACCTACAGTGGTTCTGATAGAAAGCTGGCTCTTTGCTGGGCACGAAGCCTTCCCTCTCGGGCTGGCCCTCCCCGCTCTGGGGGCCCTGATGAGGCTGGGGATCGGCCCCGGCCACCCCCACCAGAGCCTTCGGTTCGACCTAAAGAGCCCGGGGCCAAACGCAAGGGGTCGGGTGAGGGGGTTCCCCAGTCCCAGCGTGGCCCCCGCCGCCCCTCAGCCGAGGGAGGAGATAAACCTACACATAAGCAGGGTCTAGGTGGAGGCAAGGCAAAGCTCCCGGGTGGAGGGTGTGGTGGTAAGGGCGCAGTGAGTGGTGGGGGCAAACGTCGGCTGAGCAGTGAAGATAGCTCCTTGGAGCCTGACCTAGCTGAGATGAGCTTGGATGATGGGAGCAGCCTGGCTCTGGGGGCAGAGGCCAGCACCTTTGGGGGCTTTCCTGAGAGCCCACCCCATGGACTTCCCTCCAGTACTCCCCCCACCTTCCACTCTGAACCCCCTGATGCATATGAAGAAGATGGTGGTGTTTACTTCTTAGAGGGGCCTGAGCCCCCAGTTGCCCCATCCAGCCTACCAGGACTGCTCCCTGGGGAAGGAACTACCCAGGATGACCTCCCCTCCACAGATGAGAGTGGTGGATGCCCCCCTAAACCCAAAGACATGGCCCCTGGAACTGGGGAAGAAGATGATGATTACCAGGTGTATTACCTGAATGCCCAGGATGGGACTGGGGGTGAGGAAGAGAAGCCTGAGGTGGGTGCTGGTGAGGAGCAGGACCTTTTTGCTGGGCTCAAGCCACTGAAACAGGAGAGCCGAATGGAGGTAAGACTAGGAGAGGAGAGGCAGGATGCTCTTAACTACTGGGAAGTGTGTAAGAGGGGTTATTTGAGTGTGGTGCTCAGAAGAATCAAGCTTGAATTTATATGGTGCCTTTCAAAGGTTTATGGACTGACTTCTTTTTCCCCACAGTAACACTGAAAAAGGGGAGTGAAAATTTTACATCTACTTTATAGATCATTGGATGATAGATCTAAGGCTGAAAGGAACTTTAGATGTCCTCTAATCTAACATCATTTTACAGATGAGGAAACAGGCACAGAGAAGTTAAGAGATTTGCCCAAGGGCAAGGAAGTAGTAATTGGCAGTCAGAATTTGAACCTCGGGTCATGTGATGTTCTGCCTCCCAGCCTCCTGATCCTTGGGTAGCTGATGAGCTCTCTCCCCCCTCTTGCCTCCCATGTCCTTCCCTGTTCAGGTACTTTTTGCCTGTGCCGAGGCACTGCATGCCCATGGCTATAGCAATGAGGCTTCCCGACTCACTGTGGAGCTTGCTCAGGACTTATTGGCCAATCCACCTGACCTCAAGGTGGAACCGCCCCCTGCCAAGGTGAGATGCCCTTCCTTCCCAGCCTCCTGCTCCCCTGAATGATGTGAGTCTGACATAATCGTCTCTTTTCGACTTAATCTTAGGGTAAGAAAAACAAGGTATCCACAAGTCGCCAAACCTGGGTGGCCACCAACACTCTGACCAAGGCGGCCTTCCTCCTGACTGTGTTGGGTGAGCGGCCTGAGCATCACAACTTGGCCTTCCGCATCGGCATGTTTGCCTTGGAGCTGCAGCGGCCTCCGGCTTCCACCAAGGCCTTGGAGGTCAGACCCCTCTCCTCCCCTTTGTAGCTTGGCAGCTTGTGCCCCTCTGGTATGTCGCCCCGGTAAGGCTGGGGTGCTGTCTGAGCTCCTGTCTCTGTCCCAGGTGAAGCTGGCGTACCAGGAATCAGAGGTGGCCGCTCTGCTGAAGAAGATCCCTCTAGGAGTGAGCGAGATGAGCACCATGCGGTGCCGGGCCGAGGAGCTTCGGGAGGGAACCTTGTGTGACTACCGGCCTGTCCTGCCCCTCATCTTGGCCAGCTTCATCTTCGACGTGCTCTGCACCCCAGGTGTGCCAGGGCTGCAGGGGCCTCACTGGCAGGGTGAGCAGGCTGTCTGCTCCCCTGTGCCCTTGAGGCGCCCGTGTCTTCCTGACTTGTGTTTCCTTCTGCTTTTTCTCCCCTAACAACCCCACAGTAGTCTCCCCCACAGGTTCTCGACCCCCAAGCCGAAACTGGAACAATGAAATGCCTGGAGATGAAGAGCTAGGATTTGAAGCAGCTGTAGCTGCCCTGGGTAAGTCTGGCTCAGCGAATGACGGATGAACTCCTGGGCTGGATTATCCAGCCCTGTGCCACGTGCCGTGGCAGGGGCTCTTCACTTTTTTGTGAAATGGTCCCCCCTAGGGACCCCTTCCCAGACGCATGACCTTTGAATGCATTAGATAGAAAGGAAACCAATAACGCAGAAATGTAGTCATCCATTTTTTTTTAAGTTCATAGACCCCAGGCTAAGACCTCTGTGCGATGGTGACTACGGAATTGTAGACGACATCATATATTCCCTCAAGTAGTTTACACGTTAGTTAGTGAAACAGCAGAGAATGTGAATTAGTATATAATTAAGCTCAGATTGTAGTAAATGCCCTAGTTGATCAGAGACGGAAATGGCTAGAGAATTTAGGCAAGAAGAGTAGTTCACATTTTAGTTGCATTTTAAGGTTTACAAAGTACTAAGTTTGCAGCATCTCTGTGAAGTAGGTACTATGAGTGCTGTTAGCCCCACTTTAGAAAGGAGAAAACAGGCTTAGAGCTAGCCAAGTGCAAAGGACAGGACTTGTGCTCTTTTCTGCCATTGAGGTGGCTTTAAGGAGGAGGTGGCATGTGAGCCAGGCCTTGAAGGGGAGTGAGTATAGAAGGCATCTCAGCAAGAGGCCAAAGGGTCTGAGAAGCACAAGGTGTATTCCTGAAGGAGGGTGGTGGGATGCGCTGGGCCCAGGGATGGAGGACCTTGAAAGCAAGGCTGAGCAAAGACTTCAGGTGGCAAAAATGGGGGCCCATGTCCTCTCATCCTTGCAAAGGATTTAAGAGAAAGCAGTCTTCAGTTGCTCATGCTACCCTCGGGAACCTAGTTGATTTCCTCGTGGTCCATCCTGGCCTCTTCCCTGTCCTGGAAGGCCGTTCCCTCGAGCCCTCAGGAGTGCTGGGAGGCCTTGGTGGGTCTGATGCCTCTGCCCCATCACTGGCACTGCCTGACCCCCTAGGCATGAAGACCACTGTGAGTGAAGCTGAGCACCCGCTCCTGTGCGAGGGCACACGCCGTGAGAAGGGAGACCTGGCTCTGGCGCTGATGATCACCTACAAGGACGACCAGGCCAAGCTCAAGAAGGTGAGGGGCAGGCACGGGGGCATTGGGCCCCAGAGGCATGGAGTGGGGAGCGGATGTCCTGCCCCTTCTTCAGGGAGTCACCAGGTCTGAGACCCTGGCCCTGGGAGAAGACATTGCGTGTGTATGCCAGGAAAGACTGGATTGGTGAGGGGGAGGAAAGTAATGGAGTCATGCACCGCCTTTAGTGAGATGTATTTTATGCTCAGCCCCTGGCTAGCCCAGGTTCTGTGGGGGATGTCAAAATGTTTGAGCCTGACCCTGCTCTAAGAACTGTAGGAGGCTTCCTGGGGTGCACTCTCACCTCTCCTTGCCCTCCAGACTCCTCCTTTTTCATCGACGTTCAGCCCAGGTACTGCTTCCGGGAGGTTTTTCCAGATTTCCTCAGTTGCTAGTATTGGGTGCCCCCTCCCCCCCTTAGTGTTCCCAAGAGGACTGGCCTCTAACCCAGGAATGCTGGGTTCTCATCTTGCCTCTTGACATGCTCTGTGACTGCACCAGACCCTTCTCGGGACCCTAGGCACTTCCATGTCCTGAGTGCCAAGTATAGTGCTTGATGCAGCAGGTGTGGGCTGGTGAATTCCTGGAAGGAGTTACCTTGAGCTCCTTAGAGAAGGGCAGGAGAATGCGGGATAATGGGCAGGAGGTTTTGGGAAGACCCTTTCACTGCCTTTCTCCCCTAGATCCTGGACAAGCTCCTGGACCGGGAGAGTCAGACACATAAGCCACAGACTTTGAGTTCTTTCTACTCATCCAGCCGCCCAGCTACTTCAAGCCAGAGGTCCCCGTCTAAGCACGGGGGTCCCGCTGCAGGGGGAGGCCTGCAGCCGCTGCCTCCAGGCTCGGCAGGGGGTACCCAGCCGGGGGCTGTGGCTGGGGTCAACCCAGACCCAGCTGAGGGCTTCACAGAAAAGACTGTGCCTGGTGAGAGGTGGGGGACCTGGGCAGGGGTGGTACAGTGGGATAAACCCCAAGTCAGGCTCTCTTCCCTTTGGCTCTGTCTTATAACTTACTGCTCCCTTGCCTAGAGAGCTCCCCGCGTTCCCCTTGTGAGGGCCCCCCACCTGAGGCTGCTGTGGCCCCCAAACCAGAGGGGAAGGTTCCAAGCCGCTTGGCACTTGGCAGCCGAGGAGGCTACAATGGGCGGGGCTGGGGATCCCCAGGACGGCCCAAGAAAAAGCACACAGGTATGAGGGGCCCTGGCTTGGGCATGGCTGGGAGAAGGGTCTTTGCCTGAACTGAGGGCTCTTCTTGGGGTGGGACGCTGGGAGGGTAATTCACGACTCCCTGAAGCACTTCCCTAGATTGAGATGGGTCCCAGACAGATTCTAGGCTTTAAGCCCCCACCCAGGGGTCAGATCTGGGAGTTCCCGTCCATTGGGTTCTCCCTTCTTCCCCCCTGGCTGGGGACTGACTGCTGTCTGGGGGATTAGGCATGGCCAGCATTGACAGCAGTGCCCCTGAGACGACATCGGACAGCTCCCCAACCCTGAGCCGAAGGCCACTACGGGGGGGCTGGGCCCCCACCTCCTGGGGCCGGGGTCAGGACAGCGACAGCATCAGCAGCTCATCCTCCGACTCTCTGGGCTCCTCCTCCTCCAGTGGCAGCCGACGTGCCAGTGCAAGTGGGGGTGCCCGGGCCAAGACAGCCGAGGTTGGCAGGTGAGTGGGAGAGGCCAGTCTTGTTCGCTTAGATCCCAGGTGCTGTGCTTTCCACTCTCATCACCCCATCAAAGGCCCATCAGAAACATCCTTCATCCCCTGGCCAAATCCACGGTGCCTTTCGTTTCCTCTGATCCTCCGGCCTCCTGTGTCCCCAAAGTGCCCATTGTCCTCCAGCCTCAGCTTGTCCTTCCCGTTTGCACTGCCCCTCAGGTACAAGGGCCGTCGCCCAGAGAGCCATGCCCCCCACGTACCCAACCAGCCATCAGAGGCAGCTGCGCATTTCTACTTCGAGCTGGCAAAAACAGTGTTGATCAAGGCCGGGGGAAACAGCAGCACCTCCATCTTTACCCATCCGTCCTCGTCAGGGGGTCACCAGGGCCCCCACAGAAATCTGCATCTTTGCGCCTTTGAGATTGGACTCTATGCTTTGGGTCTGCACAATTTCGTCTCGCCCAACTGGCTCTCTCGAACCTATTCCTCCCATGTGTCCTGGATCACAGGTAAATCTAATGCTCAGGGCTGAGCTCTGGGGCAGGCAGGGCGGGGGTGGGGGGAGTTCTTGAAAGGAAAGAGCTTGTCTTCACTGGTCAAGGGACCCCCATTCTGGTGGGGGGGGGGTCTCCCAACCTTTCTTCCTACATTATGGGGTCTGCTTCGTCCCGATCCCCACTCCACAGGCCAAGCGATGGAGATTGGGAGTGCAGCCCTGACTATCCTGGTGGAGTGCTGGGATGGGCATCTCACACCCCCCGAAGTTGCCTCCCTGGCTGACCGGGCATCACGGGCACGGGACTCCAACATGGTGAGGGCAGCAGCTGAGTTGGCCCTGAGTTGCCTGCCCCATGCCCACGCCTTGAACCCCAATGAGATCCAGAGAGCATTAGTGCAGTGTAAGGAGCAGGTACGTATGCTCAGCTGCAGTGGGAGGGGATGATGGGGCAACACGAATGGGGTCCAGCTCTTAAGCCGCAGGCCCTGGGCGATCTTTTGGGAGGGGGAGCACAGACTTCTGGTCTTTCATGCTTTGATGGTGCCTTCTGTGTATGGATGAAGTGCTTTTCATGTATTTAAGATTCTTTCTGTCCATTATTCAGTTGATCCTCACGGCAACCCTGTGAAAGAGGTAGGGTAGGGGGGAGCATATCCATTTTCAGCTGAGGAAAATCACATGCCTAAAGGCGACATGATTGGTCCCCTAATTTAGATAGTGCGTGAGTGGCCAAGCCAGGGCTCAGAAGCCAAAGCTTGGGGCTCCTGCTAGTCAGGAAGCACCTCCCTGAGCACCTGCTCCTTGCTTGAGCTGCTGTCATAGCTGGCTTCCAGCTGGCTTCCTGAGTCATTCAGCTAGGGGCTCTGCCCCAGCAAGACACTAGAGAGAGGTTTCGAGCTAAGGCTCCTCCCTTTTGACTCTGTGCCCTTTCCAGGATAACCTGATGCTTGAGAAGGCGTGCATGGCAGTGGAGGAGGCAGCCAAGGGTGGGGGTGTGTACCCTGAAGTGTTGTTCGAAGTCGCCCACCAGTGGTTCTGGCTTTATGAGCAGACGGTGGGGGGCTCAGCCACACCACGTGAGGGTGCCACAGGCTGCAGTGCCAGTGGGGCCCGGGCATCGGGGGAGGCTGGGCGGGCACTGCCTGAGGGCCGTGGTGGACCAGGGACCGAGGCAGTCACAGTGTCAGCAGCGGCAGTGACGGCAGCAGCCACAGTGGTACCAGTCATTTCAGTGGGGTCTGGTTTGTACCCAGGGCCTGGCCTGGGACATGGCCACTCCACTGGCTTGCACCCCTATACCACTCTGCAGCCCCATCTGCCCTGCAACCCCCAGTACCTTACCCACCCTGGTCACCCCTTGCCCCATATGCCTCGGCCTGCTGTTTTTCCTGTGCCCAGCTCTGCATACCCACAGGTGAGACAAGAACCAAGGGGAGGGAAGGGAAGGGAAAGAGAGGAGGATTGGGACCCTTTGGGAGGCTATGATGAGGGGACTCTGGATGGAAGATCACCAGTGTATACAGGGCTGTCTGGGGAGAACGAGGCCCTTGTTGGGTCTTGGAATCGGGGGAGGACTGTCAGCTGAGAAAGGGGCTTTAGGTATTGGGGTAAATAAAACTGGAGAGGCAAGAGTGCTATGCCAATGTGACCCGCTCTTTCCCGTCTTCTGTCTCCAGGGTGTGCACCATGCATTCCTGGGTCCTCAGTATCCCTACTCGGTGACACCGTCCTCACTTGCTGCCACAGCTGTATCCTTCCCTGTTCCTTCCATGGCACCCATAACGGTGCATCCCTACCACACTGAATCAGGGCTCCCACTGCCCTCCAGTGAGTGAGGGGACCACGGGTGTGGGGAGGAGGGGAGATAGAGGTGCAGGGGGTCTTCTTGGCTCTGAATGCTCTGCTCCCTTTCCCCCTCCCCCCCACAGTGAACAGTGTCCATACACCCAGCAGCATCCATCAAAGTTCCACATATCCCGCTATCCAGGGCAACTCAGTGTCCACCATAAGTACCCAGCCGAGCTGCCTGGTAAGTGGGAGCTTCCCCCCGCCAGAAGAGGAGACGCACAGCCAGCCTGTCGGCACCCAGAGTCTGCATCACTTGCACGCTGCCTACAGAGTTGGTGAGATGGCTCCCGGGGTTCTTCCCTTACCTTGTCGCCTGCCATGGGCCCTGTCCCTCCATGTGGCATTGCCACATGCCACCCAGTGTGTTTTTAGCAGGACCCACAGACATCCTTGGCCCCCATCTTTACCCTTTGGCCTTCCACACTTGGCCTAGATTCTTCTGTCCCTTTTCCTTCCCCTTGGCTGATGTGGTCTGTGCTCAGGAGGTGGGATGTCCTTGGGATTCACCATCTGCTCTTAGCTTCTGCCCCACATTGGTTCTTCTCTAGGGATGCTGGCGCTGGAGATGTTAGGCCGACGGGCGCATAATGATCACCCCAACAACTTTTCTCGCAGCCCGCCCTATACCGAGGATGTCAAATGGTTGCTGGGGCTAGCGGCTAAGCTGGGTAACACCTCTTCCTAAACCTCTTCTCGCCCCTCCCCCTGTCTTGCTCCAAACCGCCTTCACAGCCATAGGCCAGAATTGAATCCTGGGCTTCTTGGGGTGGGCCAAGAGAGAGGGGCTGTTGGACCGAGAGCTGAGAAGGGCAGCTAGGCCCCCAGGGCAGGGGTGTCTGCCTTGGTCTCATGCCCCTCCCCCCTGCCCCCCAGGAGTGAACTACGTGCACCAGTTCTGTATGGGGGCAGCCAAGGGGGTGCTGAGCCCATTTGTGCTACAGGAGATCGTCATGGAGACGCTGCAGCGGTTGAACCCTGCTCATGCGCACACCCACCTGCGCACCCCAGCCTTCCATCAGCTGGTCCAACGATGCCAGCAGGCGTACATGCAGGTGAAAGCCAGGGGGAGGTGGAGGAGGAATCTAAGGGGCACCACACGCTCGGGGGGGGGGGGGGGAGCCATGGAGACAGCTCTCCATCCCCCGAGCCTCAATGTCCGCACATTCCCTTCCAGTACATCCACCACCGCCTGATCCACCTGACCCCTGCCGACTACGACGACTTTGTGAACGCAATCCGCGGCGCTCGCAGCGCCTTCTGCCTGACCCCTATGGGCATGATGCAGTTCAACGACATCCTGCAGAACCTCAAACGCAGCAAGCAGACCAAGGAGCTGTGGCAGCGTGTATCGCTTGACATGACCACCTTCTCCCCTTGAGCCTGGCCCCCCCTCACCCTCCCAGAGCCCATCTGGAAACAGACAGGGGGACCTCGAACCGGCTGGACAGATTTGCTCTGCTCAGGGGGTGGGGGGAGGTCCCTCCTAGGACGTTGTTCGGGGCTAGGCCTGGAGCAGGGGCAAGCTGGGGACGTTGCTGCCTCTGGGCCCAAGAGCCAACGGCTAGTTGGGGGTGGGGGGAAGGAGGCAGCTCTGCTTGGGAGGGGGGTGCGGGGCAGCCTCTGATATTTATTTGGCATTTATAAATATATAAACTCCTTTTTTACTCATCTGTCTGAGCCTCTCTAATCCTTAAGCATGATAGAGATGAGACCTCTCTCCCCTGTAGGTAGTAGAAACTGGGAGACCTAAACCTTAACTTCCTGCTCCCACATCAGACAGACAGACAAGACAGAAAAATAATGATGTTTATTAAGGATCTTTCTAGCCTTGTTCTCAGCTCCACGAGCTGCCGTCTGACCTCATCCCCATTCAATATGAATGACACAGGGAAGCCAGACTGCAGAGTGACCCCTTTGACTGAAGGGTTCATAAGCAAGAGAACCTGCTGATGTTGGAGGCTGCCTCCTCTGAGAAAAACAGAGACGTCCTGCTGGGAATGTGGGATGGCAGTCACTTCCCAACTACCCCCACCTACCAGTTTATCCTTCCTCCCCTCAACTTCGGATGGGAGGGCCCAGATCAGCACTGAGGGCCTTGGGCCCCAGAAAGGAGGCGCAAGTGGGTCCCTTTGTTAGGACTTAAGGTTGTAGAAAGGAAGCGAGGGCCCTGCTCTCCTTCCCCATCCAGGCCTGAGGGAACACTGAGATGGAAAGGAGAGTGACTAGGCCAGCCCACTGCCCCTGCTGGCCCTGCCCAGTCTTCTAGCCTTTAGGCACCCCTGCCTGTTGGGTATCCGTGGGGTGGAACACTCAGCCCAGGCCTGATCGCTGTAGCTCCTCCTGAAGCCAAGAGGGCAGTGGCTGCCCAAGCCGACTCAGCAGTTTTGACAATTCCAGATTATGGTCCCGGAAAAAGTCAATCAGAAGAAGGCGGGACTGATTGAGAGGAGAGAAAAGTAGTCAGACAGTGACAAGAGAGAGGATGGAAGATAAGAGATGATTGCAAGGGGAATCCCCTACCCTAAGTGCTCACCTCAGGTTCCATGTCTGGGTACCTCCGTCCCTTGCTCTTGCCCAGGCATCGTGTCTTGCCACCCTCTAGCCCCTGGCACCAGAATCCCTTCCCCTCATCAAACCTGCTTAGCAGGAGAAGGCAGTCAGGTGACTTGGAAGGGAGGAATGCCAGACCCTACAAAGACACAAACATTCCCCCTCCCAACCCTAGAGTTGTCCCAGACATTGTCCCTCCCAGACACGGGTCTCTTTCCTCTAGGCGGATCTATAATCTCAGCATGTCACCCCAGCTCTCCCCACCCATCCCACCTGAGGGTTCTGGTGTAGTTGAGGACAGGGGTGACACCTAGGAACTTCTGGATGCTTTCCATGGAGGCTGCTGGGTTTGTGCGTAGCTCCTGCCCATCTACTATCAGCACCTGTGGGCCAGAGAGGGAGGGATGGAGCTGACTGGGAGGCAGTTTAGTGGAGGTCTGGGACACTGCAGGGGTGCCACGGGGGGGAAAGGGCTTTCTACCTGTCCAGAAGGGTAATAGGTGAGCCAGCGCTGCAGATGAGTGGAGTAGTAGCCAGGGATGAGGCAGCGGTTCTGCAGGGCCCGGAGTGCAGGAGAAGCCTGAGGTGGGGCTGAGATCACTTGGTAGAAGGTGTGGTTCAGGGCAATTGGGTCACCATGTGCTCGTTGATGCTTGAAAAGTAGAGGGTATGGATGATGAGGAATGAAGTAGCAGGGTCATCCCCATCACACGGTGTCCTTTCTGTCTCCTCTCCAAGACTCTTTGCCCATTCTTATCCCTCTGGCTCCCCTTCCAAACCTCTGGCACACCTGGCCACCCCACAGAGACTGACCTGGTACCAGGAGTAGGCCCGGTCAGCAGGGTTGGTAAGTACTGTGATGATCTTGGCACGAGGCAAAAGGGCTGCTCCCCGACGTGGTACAACCTCGGAGTCAAAATAGGTGGCACTTTTCTCAAACAGGAAGTCAGTGCTGGCATTGGAGGGGACTGGGAAAAAGTCCATGTACCTGGGGATGGACTTAGGGTCAAAGAGTAGAACAGTGTAGAGAGATGGAAGCCAGGAGAGGAGGTCAAGTGACATGAAGAGCTCAATCAGGAAGCACTTAGGAAGCACCTACTGTGTAGCAGGCACGGTGCTAGGTATGTAGGACCTGGGTGGAAAAGCTAGAGAGGGAAAGAAGCTCATGCCAAGGAGCAGCCCTGGGGGATCCCCCTCTCACCAGTCGATGCCCTTGTAGTAATTGGGGCCACTGAAGAACTGGATCTCTTCGAAGGTGCTGGAGCTGGGGAAGCTGCTGGTCACTGCTGGGTGCAGGCTCAGGAAGAAGTGGACGGCCGTGGTCCCTGGAGGGGAGGGGTGGGAGGGGAGGAGAGAGCTCAGCCCCGGCAATTGGACCCTGAGAGCACAGGGCGGGAGCTGAGATGCCAACGGGTTCCCAAAGGGAAGTGCTCCGTGGGGATCCTCACCTGTTTTCTGGGGCCCCACAATGAGGAACTTGGGGAGTCGGTCACACGTCTTCTCCTTGGACCAGATGTCTTTGTGTCTCTTGTCATCACAGGGGTTCTAAGAGGGAGGGGAAGAGACAGATAGGACCTGGCTTCTCTCCCTTTCTCTCCCCTCTCCCTGCTTTCCTTGTGTTAAGTTTCTAGCCCACCCCAGCTCCGAGGGCTGACCTGCCAGAGTGGGCTGCGTTCCTGAGGGAAGAGGTCAAAGTACTTTTGTGCCAGGGGGGCTGGGGGCAGAGTCTGCAGGCGCAGCCGGGTCCAGCACTGCAGGAAGCGCACCAAGCTCTCGAAAGTGTACAGGCCCAGCCGGTCATTGCCATAGTTAGACAGATGGGTCATGAAGATGCTGATCTGCATGGGGAGCCCCCATGTCACATAAGGGGAACTTCAGGCCAAACCTGACGATCAGATTTGGGGAGAAGGCCCCTGATCCCGCCCCCAATCAGCTCAGGACTCTCAGCCTATACCGGGTTGAGCAGAACAGTCAGGAAGAGCTCTCCACCACGGATGCTCCGGTCCAGCTCTCGAGAGCCCCCGGGATACTCATGGTAGAAGATGGTGTGAGTGAAGAGACCACATGTCTGACGGGGCAGGACCTAGAGAAGGGAGGGAAGGAGCAGGGATGGCTGGGGCCAGTTAGCAGAACACGGACGGAGAAATGAAGTGCCAAGGACCCAGGAAAAGGGGAAGCATAGTCTGTGAGACATGCACTTCTATGAACGTTGACGAGAGTGAAACTCAGCCCAGGCTGGAGCTGGGGGCCTAGGGGTCAAGGGCTAGAGGACGTGTTGGCAATCCATAGGGTTTGCTTCAAATTTAGGTTAGAGAGTCCCTCACCATGATGCCATTGTGAATAAAGCCTCGCCGGTAGCGTGCAGGGCGGAGATGGGGATACTCTTCAGTGCTGGTCACCTGGATCCCCCACACAGATTTCCAGGCCTCATAGAGCTGTGTGTGGATGGGGTACACGCCCGAGTGGTGGGGAGCCACTGCATACCCCAGATCCGTGGGGATCCCATGCTCCTGGGGATGGCACAGACTCATCTGGGACCGCTGAGGTTGGGGGGAGGAGAGGGGCGGAAGGGATAGGGATACCATCCCAGGAAGAAAAACTGGGAAAAAGAACTAGAGGAAGAAGTAGAGGGAGGGTAGCTGTGGGGAGAGGGAGAGGAGGGGCCATACCACCAAGGGAGGTAGCTCTGTGAGGGGGCTGTGGGGGAGCTACCCGGGGGTCTCACCAGAGCAAACTGCTTGTTGAGCCGCATCTGGTCTGCCAGCACGGAGCGGTTGTGGAACAGGTGTGGCTGCATATGGCTCCACATGTGGGGGAACCACCAGAACTCCTTCCGGTGCCTCAGGAGCATGTCATCCCCGGCGTCTTCCTCCTCTGTCCCTGTGGCCACATATGCCCACTGTAACTAACCACCTGATAAACAGTGACTGTCACCCACTCATCCTCCTCACCCTGACCATCATGAATGACCAATCTGATACAGCCTTTCGATCCCACATCATGAATACTGACCATCTACTAACCACGACCTATTATATTCCCCACATTCTTCATTCTCAGCACAATATTTGCTGATCAGTACATAGTAGGCACTTAACATGTTTACTGACTGACCATGCAGTTGAATATCCTATCAACTCTTGCTGTCTGCTTGGCCCTAAGCATTAACATTAATTGCCGGCCCCCCAGATGTGCACCTACACACTAGCTACGCTGGTTTGATTCCAGGAAGAAGGGCAGGCAGGGGAAAATAAGACCAGGGTGGCGTGTGCCATGGAGAATTAAGGTAACGTGGGGCAGTTCGGTGGCGCGGTGGATAGAGCACCGGCCCTGGAGTCAGGAGGACCTGAGTTCAAATCCGGCTTCAGACACATAACACTTACTAGCTGTGTGATCCTGGGCAAGTCACTTAACCCCACTGCCTAACCAAAAAAAAAGAATTAAGGTAACGTAACTCACCTGTATGGTAGAACTTTCCCGAGAAGCCCAGATTGAAAGTAAAGTTGGGGACCAAAGCCCTGAGTTTTCTCTGTGTGGTAAGTAGGGCCTAGCAGAAGCAAACGAGAAAAGGCTCAGGAGGGCTTGCAGGAAGAGTAAAGGGCTCCAGCCCAGGCCTGGGAAGAACAGGCCATGAACACTTTCTGCAAACTTTGGGTTAACGGGTCTGTGAAAGTAACGGTGTGGGGGGAACGGCAAAGGGAACTGACCTCGACATCAGCCACCTTCATTCGGGTGCCTTCCTTGCCCACAAAAATGTCATCGATGTCCACCAGGATGTAGCGATCCAGCGTGAGGCAGAGGCGCTTCCCAGTGAGGTAGGCGACAGCATCCACAAAGACCAGTTTGTGAAGCCAGAAGGTGAGGCTGTGGCCAAAAAGCACACGCTGGATGCCGTCATGCAGCCCCAGGTCCTGCACCACCGTGGGCAGGCGGGTACGACGGGGCGCCGGGCCCAGGGCGGAGGCCTCGGCCAGCAGGACTGGCTCATACGTGCTGTGGTTGGACTGGAAGACCGTCCAGTCCTCCCCGGGCAGCGGCCCAGGCTCCAAACGACTGGGCCGAGTGAGGTGCAGCAGCGGAGCAGCGGGGTTTACCTGATAGTCGCGCAGCCCCAGGTTGGAATGTAGGAAGAGAGGGAAGCCCTTGAGCTGGGCACTAAGCAGGCTGTGCTCATGAGCACGGAAGAAGCCGATGATGCCCACCCCGTACTCCACACAGTATCGATCCAAGAGCTCGCGGCTCCAGGCATCCAGGTTGACATACTTAAGCAGGTTCTCATAGACAACGAGGGCATAGCGGCCCCTGGTATGTTCAGTCAACGTGGGCATATCCCCCCGGCCAGGGGCCAACTCTGTGCTATATCGAAAACGGCCGGATTCCAAGATGGCCACAATTTCCTGGCCAAGCTGTGAGTATACACTTTCCACAAACACCAGCACCACGGGCTCTGTGCGAGCTGTTTCTGAAGGCCGGGGGGGCCAGGGGGGTGCTGGGGGCCGGGCAGGCCCAGGACCAACGTCCCCACTGCTGCTGCAGTCACCCAGGGGCAGGGGCAGGGGCTCCTTGGCCTTGGGGGTGGTAGACACGTAGTAGGCCAGGAAGGCCATGGAGGCCAGGCTGAAGGCGATCAGCAGCAGCACCAGGCGATGCAGTTCCAGCTGCCGGGCTGGACGTACCACTCTCCACAGCTGGAGCATGGTGTGGGAGGGAGGGATGAGGAAGGAGGGCACTAAGGTTCCTGGGGAGGGAGAGGAAGATGCCCTTTAGCTGGCAGGGAAGGGGGCAAGACAGCAGAGAGGAAGAGGAAGCCGAGATCAACTCCCTGGAGGTGTGAAGAGGTAGAGAAGAGCTCCCTTCATGCGGGCGATGGAAGACGCAGGGGGGGCCCAGGCATACTCCATGGTCCTCACGTCACCATGGCCTCTGGCCCATGGCTCCAGGCTGCCAGGCTTGCCAATGCTCCCCGCAGGCACATCGAGGGCAGCACAAGTTACACAGCTCTGACCCTGTTACCTAAAAGACAGAGAAGGACAGTGCTAGGCCGGGACTCCCCTTGCCCACGCTCGGCCTGGCCCCATCTCACCTCCTGCTTCGCTTCTGTGCGGAGAGAGGACAGAGGGAGGTCCCTGCTCCGGCGGCCCCTAGGCACTGTCCACTCAGCTCAGAGCCTCGCTCAGGGGAGGGAAGGGCTCCTGGGTGTGGACAGGAGTGGCGCTAAAGCCAGGCTCAGGCTCTGGTTTCATCACTGGGAGGGGAGAGGAGGGGAGGGGGTGCCCAAGAAGCAGCCTGGAATCAGATAAGAGGCACCTCCCCTTATCGACATCCCTTATCTCAGGCCATTATCCACGTGGCCAACAGCGGATACCACAGCTTAACGGTCATCAGTGAAGTTTGAACTTTGGGTCTGGTGGCCACTGTTTGGGGTGGGCAAGGGAACGGGGTCTCCACGTCCTGTCCCCTTGTGTCCCCTCTCTCACCTTTACCACTCACACTCCGTGGCAGGAGCGAAGAGCAGCGTGGTCCCAGAGCAGCTCACACGAGAGGGACCTAGGAGAATTTAGAGGCCTGAGTGCGAGGTCCAGCTGCCTGCGCTCCCTTAGTCTGCGATGGGGGCTGCCCCCCAATCTCAGGAGGGCTCCAGGGGCACCCCAGGGAAGGCCATCGGGCTCCTCTACCACAGTCTGGCTCCCTGGCCCGGCCAAAGCACGGAGAAGGTCTGGGGGTGGGCGATGTCTAGAGCAACCACTGAGCTGAGGCAAAGGCCGGCGCACATGTGGGGAGGGGGGCAGGTGCAGAAGACGGGGGTCTGACCTGTGACTGCAGGACACAAGGGACCCAGGAAGGGTCCGAGGGTGAGAGTGGGGGAGCTCAGGGTTGGGGTAAAGGCTGGGGGGGGGCAAGGAGTCACTTAGGGTGACAGCGTGAAGACTGAGCAGGCTTTGGGGGGAGACACTGGGGAGAGAACCAGAGAGGGAATGCGAGCTGGCCTGGGGAGGGGGCTCTGGGGTCACCTGGCCAGGACACGCTAGGAAGGGGGGACACAAAGTGAGGAGACACAGGGTGGGGGGGGACATAGTGAGGGGGACACACGGCGGGGGGGACACTGGATGAGGGGGACACTGGGTGGGGAGGACACAGGGAGGGAGGCACTGGATGAGGGGGACACAGGAAGGGGGGCACTGGGTGGGGGGGCAGGGAGGGCGGCACTGGATGAGGGGGACACTGGGTGGGGGGGGTCCCCGGGTGGCAGCCCACGGAGGGGCGCGATCCTGCGGGGGGCGGGCCGAGGATGCCACGACGCGGAGGCGCTGCTCACCCGGCGGGCGGGGCGCTGTCTCTGCGGTCGCCGGGCTCCGCCGTGTCCCCGGACCCCCCGGGCGCCCACCTTTCCCGGATCCGGGCCCCGCCGCGGCGGCTCCGCCATCTCCCCGCGATCGCTCCTCCGCAGGAGGGCGGAACCACGGCTTCCTAGGGGAGCAGAGGGGGCAGGCCTTGCTGCTCGCTGCTCCCGACCCTCCGCCGGACTCCGAGGTGCGCCGTCGCACCTCTCCCAGTCTCTGAGAGGAGTAAGTGCGCTTTTTCTCACCCTGCTGTACCTGAATGCGCGACTCCTCCCTAGGCCCGGGAGCAATTCTCCTCCCCCCCGCCCCTCTGGGAGAATGGAAGAGTCCGGGCGAAGCGTCAGACGTCAAGGCCCGCGGAGGGGAAGCGGCGCGGGGAGTGGAGGCTTCTCGGCCCAATCCTGGCGAGGGGGGTGTGGACCGATCCACTGTGCTGGGAGGAGCGGGGATGGGGGCGGGAGAGGGCGGGGCGGACGATCCCATGGCGGCTCGCGGGGGTCGCCTCGGGATGCTGAATAGGGTTGAGCCCCCGCAGGGGAAGCGGAGGGTTTGGCACAGTCGGGGGCTCCCAGCAGCCGCCGGGCCTCTGGAAGTGGCCTCTTGGAAAGGGCCTGAAGCTTCATCAGTGAAAGATACAACCACCTACGAGTTGGCCAGTCCTGTGGACGTCCCCTCCTCCCCACCTGAAGTTCTCAGCCTAGCCTTCCCCCACGTGTTTCCGTGGACCCAAACATGTCCTCTGATAGAGGTTGGGTGTGTGTGGTTGTGGTTGTGGGTGTCTGTCCCCCCAACTTCAGCTACTTAGCCATGAGCCCCCAACATCAACAACACCGTGGACTGTTTAAATGTTATTTTATTAAATATCTTCAGTTCAAGGTTTCATTGTAACAAAGCTATGAAGGGTCTACCAACATTCAGAACAAACACTAGCTAGTTTTTAAATTATTCTATGTCATCATGCAAAAATTCTGCATCAAATGCCTTCCATTTCCTGTTTAAAAGGTGATTTTTTTTTTTTTTAATAATCTAAATTCTATAGATGCTGACATTAGCCCCAGGAGAGGAGAGTAAGAATGCTAAGGAGAGGTGGGGCTCGAGCAGCTGATATCAAGCTATGGGTTTCAAAGACCATTGTCTCAAAAGACTGCAAAACCAAACCATGTTGTGAAGTTGTCTGCGTGCTGGCAATGCAGAATACAGGAAAGAAAAGGGGGCCTGGGGCCCAGAGGGTGGGCATGCACACCGTGCTCCATTGACTCTGACCAAATCCAACTGAAGCTCTCACACCTGTCCTTTTGGGGCTTTTAGCTCCTCTCCTGCCCCTTCTCACTATACTTCATACTCTGAAGGCACTCCAGGGACTCTGGACCTGCCCACCTTCCCTGGAAAGGTATAGGTAGGTAGGTATTTGTGCAGAGGACCCTGGCATATGACCAATTTGTCCTCAAGCACCTTTCCTTCTTCCTGCCTTCCCTCCCTTGTGGCAGCAGAACCCCCTGAGAACAGGAAGGAAAATTGATTTGAGGGCAGCCGTGGCCCTGGGCACCTCCTTTTTTGGGGTGCATGCAGGGTAGAGGAAGGTGAAGGCCCATGCAAGACTCCAGCAGCAATTCTGAGCCTCTGTTGGTCAGTAGAGAGGCCTCTTGAAACAGGGACACCTAGGCAAGAGTCAGACAAGCCAACTCTGGAGAGAAAACAAGATGAACAGTCCCACTTCTCCCATTCCCACTAGGGTGCTCCGCAGGGCCCCAGGCCCAGATGGGGTTTGGAATTGGGGCCATCACCATGAAAAAAAGCAAGACAAAGACGACTGAAGTCAGCACAGAAACAGAAATGCCCAAGGCTACAGGGGGAGTGGCAGGCCCTGGGCTCCATCCTGGCTAAGTCACACTAGAACAAACAAGGTGGCAGCCCCTACCCCTTCCCAGCTGGGGGCCCAGGCCTTGGTACCCAGACCCATGCTTGGTTGTGCATCCTCTAGAAATGGATGGATGAGGGACATATATGTCAGACTAACACCAGGTTTCTGCCTGCTTCCTAGTGGACAAATTTCTGCAGCACCAAGTCTCCCATCTACACTAAGTGGAACAGTACAGTAAAACCCTACCCACGAGCCCTCCATCTTGGAGCCACTGCTTTTTGGTGCTGCCTTTGCAATGGTAGCTGCCTGGGGATAAGGCCATCTTCCCCCCAGGGAAAAGAAAAATAAGCTCCAAGCATTAGCCATCTCATGACCTGTTGCTGCTTTGGCCCTCCTCCTGGGCTCATGTGCAGACTCTGAAGAAGTCCGTTCCCAGGACCCAAGGCTGGGCAAGCCACCTCAGGGGCTGCAGAGATCCAGGTGACCCTGCCCAAGTTGCTTTTGTGGCCTCCAGCAGGGTCAGTGTCAAGAGTTCCTGCCTGGCCCCCCCAGAGTCCATGGGGGTTGCAAACCTGGGCTCATGCACTGCCAGGTAGACGAGCCTGCTGCTCAAACTTGCGCCCTCTTGCCAGCCCAGGGGGGCTGCAGGTGGTTTTAAAACATGATCAGCGGTATGGATTCCTTTTTTTTTTTAAACAATCTTTTTTTCTTTTTTCTTTTTTTTTAAATGTAAAAAACACCTCGGTACAGCAGAGACAGACACGATGGGCAGGCGGGCTGCATGCAGGGGCGTGCATTGGTTGCTGCCGCTTTGTAATTTTAATTGTTTTTAAACCTCAAACGAACATGACTGCCGCTGTCACTCAGGCCCTCCAGAGCCGCTGGCTGCGAAGGTTTGACCTCTGGCTGAGAATCTCCTAACAGCACTGCTGGAAAGAACACAGCAGCAGGCCATGGGAGTGAAGGATAAGGGTAAATGAGAGGAACTTCTGCCCCCTTTGTACCTGTAAGCAAACCTACCATTCCCAGGGTGGCCAGGGAGATGGGCCTATGGCCGGGCTGGGAAACACAGAACTTTCTTCTCTACCCTTCCCCCATTAGAACATAAGCTTCTCAAGGACAGGCACCGTGTTTCTGTTTTGTTCATATACCTGATATAGGAGGCGTTTAATAAATCCTCAATCAGTTGAATTAACTAAGCCTGTGGCTAGAGTAAGGTCCTACAGAGGATGGTATGACTTTCCTGTCCCAAATGCCCACCCTGACTTCCAGCACCCGGAGCTCACCTGTGGGAGAGCTCACTGCAGCGGGGCAGCAGGGGCCCCCGAGCAGTGGTAGTGCACGTTGAGCCATTTGCCATCACGGCGATGCCAGACCCTGGTCTCCTCAGACTGGCTGGTCCGAGGCCGGCCCTGGCCATCGATGTACTGGGTAAGGCGTATGTAGGCGATACAGGCAGCGTCTTCGCCAATGACATGCACGTGAGGGTTCAGGATGGTAGTGTGGATGGGCTTGCTGTTCTTAGACAGTACTGTAGGGGGGAACAAGTGTTAGGCTTGCTATGTAGGACTGATCTAGCATCCCCTCCTGCCTTGCTGTCCAGCACCATTCCTTGGTGCCAGCACCCCCACATTTCTCCGAAAGTTTGGGGCTCACTATCTCCATCAACAGCTGTTGCCACAGCTTAAGCTGTGATCACGCTATCATCTCATCAACCCCCTTATCTGAACATAACAAAACCACTAACTTGGAATGTGAAAAAACCCACTTGTGACAGGAAGTAAGACAGTTAAAAAGTCACGATCCAGGAAGTTCCCAGGGCTCACAGGATCCTTTGGGAAAAAGGCAAAGGGAGCTAGCTGGACAGATCTATTGTGGACTGGGCACAAGTAAAATGTTGCTTTTAGCCAATTAAGCTCATGTTTTATTATGGACAAATCTAATTTTGGTTAAAATATAACGATGAGAATACACAAGATTTCTTAGAGCTCAAGACTTCACGCCTTAGTCAAAAGCATTTTAGATAATCCAGGGTTTTACCTTTGCACAGCTGGAATACTGGGGACAGGGATGGAAACTGATATGGAGATGGATGAGTGATGGCATCAGAGCAGGGCTGGGCTGAGAAGGTGGGAGGGAGAGAGAAAGTGTTTGTATCAGGAATGGGGCAGGGAAATGGGCATCTAGCCCTGGAACGCCAAGGAATCCTCAAATGTCTTCTCCAAAGAATTCAAGTGAAGGGTCACCCAAAGGACAGTAGAGAGGTACATGGTGGGTATGAGTAGCCTCTAACACATTACAAATGGACTGGAAGAGGTGGTGTCAGGGATGTCACCAGACAAATTTATGACTAAATGGAGAGATGGGTCTCAGGCTTCAATGAGGGGAAGATCTAGAAATCTTCTTGCAGAACAGGGCCAATGACATAATAAGAATGAGGAATCATGGTTGGACAGCCTGCATACACTCACTGGCTTCCACGCAGTCAAGAACTCTAGAGTGGGGGTTCTCAATCTGAGGTCCATGGAACCCCCACAAAGGGGTCTGTGGAGAGATTTTAAGTGGGCTGTAAACTTGGATGGAAAAAATTTCCATCTCCATTTCAACACAATTGGTTTATCGTCCTATGGATTTAATTTTAAGCATTTAAAAACATTATTCTTAGAAATGGCATCCATAAACCTCACCAGACTGACTGCCAGAGAGGTCCATGGCACAGAAGATAAGAACCACCACTTCAGAGCAACAGTTCTCAAAGGCTGATCTGGGGTCCCTGAGACCCTTCCAGAGGGTCTGCAACGTCAAAACTATTTTCATAATAATACAAAGATATTTTAATTTAGGGTATGGCAAATATCAATAGATAAACCCCACATAAAGAAAAGCTTTTTGCACGAGCAGGGTGCAGGGGAGGATCCTTAATATTTTAAGAGCCCTGAGACCAAAAAGTTTGGGAAGAGCTACTCTCGAGGAATGCCTCTCAAGTGCTTCAGATAGATAGGCTGTGGAGGATTTATGTGAGGCCTGAATGGGTATGGGTGGGTAACCAGTCTGAATTGATCACAGATCCATCGAAGAAGTATTTAAGGGCTTGAAATCCAACACCTCCACCGCTTTCTACCTCGATATTTGGAATTCCTACCCAGGCAGATGCATTTCCCCACATACCAAACAAGGCTGTAAATCCTGGCTGTAAATTAAGCCCCTCAGCCGTGGTAATTGCCCCACAACTTGCATTCTGATTTTAAGTTGCCCTATTATGAAGCTTATAGCCATAGTTACTAGTTTATTTATTTGGTAAGATCAACCCAGGTATATCATGTAGCAACACTTGACTGCTGGCAATACAGAGGTCTTGACCTTGAAGGCGGCACTATCCTCCTGACAAGTTTACAGCAGTCTTTGGGGAAGGATGGAGATAGAAAAGCAAGAGATTGGGATAAGCAGAGGGTACAAAAGGGGAGGAGAAGGCAAGTGTGGGGGGTTGGGAGGAATGGGGAGGGGAGTCAGATGGAGGAAGAAAGAAGTGACAGGAGGCAGGTGGGAGGATCTCAGCAGCACGAACCCACTCACGATTCTCAAAGTAAAATTTATGGAAGTCCATCCCCTCCACCAGGTTGCCGAGTGCCTCAGGCTCGAAGGAGGTGAGGCCAGGATCACAGATCTTCCTGTACAGGAGAGCCAGTGAAATCAAGATTTTCAGGGACCTCTCTACATCCCTTCCTCCTTAGCAGCCCCAAACTAGCCAAGAGTAACAGCACTGACGATATATATAAATACTGGGACACAACCTAATCCTTGGGTACTCGATGCCCTTGTTCTTAGTCTTCTCTATCAATCCCAGGCTTTCCCTCCCACCCACCAGGAAGCTCTAAGATCTCCAGAGTTGCTCCACTGGGCAAGGCTATCCTATGTGGAGAACCCAAGGCTGAGACTTAGCACTCTGGTCCTCTGAGGCCCCATAGGAACCTCATTTACTTTCTAGGACAGACACCTTGAGGTTAGATGGGCACCTCCTTCTGGGAAGTGAACCATGCAAGAACATGTACTTCTACTCACGTGTAGGCATCAAAATCCCCATTGTTGATGGCTTCAATCAGCTGCTCCGTGATCTTAATTATCTCTTGTTTTCGAACTGTGGGAGAAAAGCCCTGCAATTCACCTGCATGGGGTTGGAGAGAACCCCAGGAAAGCCCTCCCCAATCCTTCATACAGCCTCTGACTCCAAGTAATTATCTGCTATCCCCTTTATCTTTAGGGCTCATCACAGAGCAGACCTTTCCCATCATTCCTTACCCTAGCCATCTGCAGAGAAAAGGATCCTCCCGCCCCCACTAAGCACCTCCCCCCCTCCCAGGACAGTTGATTGGGTATGGATCTCTGGCTTTTGCCCTGCTCCTATATCAAGAGCCAAACCAAAGCAAACACCCAGGAGACAGATGGGGAAAAGATTCTATTGTCCAACTGGGACATCAAATACATCACCAATAGTCTTCACAGGCTTAATATCCCATCCTGGCTAAGTGAAGCCACCCCAAAAAGGACCTCCCCCAACTCTCACAATCTCCCCTCACTGCAAGGTACTCAATCATCCCTAAAATAGCTCCAAATGGCTCTGGTCCCCTAGGCCAGAGGAACCAAGCCCCCCTGGCTATGAGGATTTCAAAAGGACCAGGCAAGAACGGGAGACGATTGCGGCACAATGGAGAAAGAAGGGCCAGACCCCATTCTCTCCAGAGGTACAAAGGGGTGGAGGGTTTGCCTGTGTTAGCTGGAAAGAGAAGCCAGGGCCCCTGATAGCCCCACACCAGAGAAACAAAGAGAGCCCCAATCTGCTCCAAAGCTCCCACCAGCTAGCAAACCAGGCTGAATACCAAGGGGACCAAGACTGAGCTCTGGATGGCAGGTAGGCAGGCAGGCAGGCAGGCAGGGCTGCAGCCCAGGGAGGTCCCAGAAGCCGAGGGGCCGTGAGGGGAGCATCCTACACTCCCCGGGCAGCTCACTTACACGGAGCGCCACTATGAGCGAAAGGCACCACGAGAGTGAGGGAGGGCTCGGATTGAGCACGTGCTAACCCTGATGGGAGCCCTGGCCCGTCCCAGGCCATAAGCCTTTCCTCACAGGAGCGAGCGGCTGCAAGACAAATGCAAGCATTAGAAAAGCGTCCCGCTGCAGCCCAATGTGGAGGGGGCGGGGGCGCAGCACAGCCAAAAACCAAAAACACAGCCAATGGGGGGGGGGCCCACCCAAAACACCACAGACTGGGGGGAGGAAGGGGGTGCACAGCCAACAGTCACAACTGGGCAGGCAGCAATCAGGAGCGCCATCAGCCTTCCAAAAAGACCCACGTGCAAGCGCACTCAGACACACGCACCTGCCATCCCCACCCAACCCAATCAAGACCTCTCTCCCCATAACATCATCTGCTCAGCAAGTCTGGCTAGCTCCCACAGGCTCAGGATGATAGATGGTGCAAGAGAAGGAGGAGAAAAGGGGGGTGGCTTCTACACCAAAGTATAACTGGCAATGGGGGGAAAGCCCCTCTGTGAAGAACAGCTGGACTGTGCAACGCCTCCCCACAACTTCCTTCACCATTTCTCTGGTGACACAAAACTCCACTGGTAACCACCATCCTACTTGGTGATGGAGCCATCTGTCTCCCATCCCATTGGCCTGACCCACGGCCAAAACATGGCGATTTCCTCTATTTCTGTTTTGTTTTTTCCTATGCTATGCACCTCCATGATCCTTTCTTAGGCTCCAGGGGCAATTTCCCTACTTGCCTTTCTCTGATCACACCACTGCCTCCATATATCTACCCCCAACCTAGAACCCCACCCCCAGGGCAGAGGCTGTGCTCCAGAACCTGGCTAAGATGTGGCGGCACCACTGGCCTGGCTCCTGTCGGTGGTGTTGCCAGAGACAGCTTCAGTGCAAGGGGAGCCGGGCGACTCTGGAGGGGATGGGGAGCTGTGCCTCCTTCCAACTTACTGGCTGAGGAGCAGAGAGAAGGCTGGGGCTGCATGCCTGCTGAGGGGGCTGTTCTGTCCCGGGGGCTCCGTCCATCAGACCCCAAGCTGCTGCGATCCCCAGTGCGGAGCTGGGCAGCTAGCCGAGCAGGGGAGGGTAGCCAAAACAGACAGAACAAGGCAGGTGAACACGCAAGCCAGACGGGAACCCCCAGGCCCATGCTACTGGAGAGCTGGGGCCACAGTGAAGCCTCAGGCCGCCGCTGGGCACTGGCCCACATCCCAAGCCACTGCCTCTGCCCTGAGGCTTCCCAATCTGTAGCTTTTCCATCTGAGAAAAGTGGAGGACCCTGGCACACAGAGAGGCCAAGGACTGCATCTTTAGCTCAGAGAACCTTTGTAACCATAACTATGAAGAACTTATAACTGGGCAGCGGCATCCAGTGCCAGCTTCTTCCAATCTACCGGCATACTTTGGGTACCACTTATACTTCCTCCATCCGAGCCCTCCCATGACTTGGAAGTACTCTTTATTTCATGCAAAATCTCTGATTTCTATGGTGGGCTTCTAAGTTCTATCTCCTTTATTGGCCACTGGTAGGTACTAAGTTTTGGTGAGCTCCCGGCTCTGCCAATGTCCTTCAGGTTTTGGTCTGGGGTGGAAGGATGGTGAGGAGGGAACAGATGAAAGGGACAAGAACCCCAGGGGTCAGGAACCCATATGCTTTTGCAGTTTGCTCCATCACATTTCCTCTACTCCAGCTGACATGAGACCTATGTTTCTAGGTTTGGAGTCTCTTGGAGGAAGGGTGGCTTGAGACCCATGATTCCTCCACATGTATTTTTTTAAAAACTAGATCTTTTCCTCATTCTTTTTAATTGCTCTAACAACCATTTTCAGATCTCCTTGGCTTTGTGATAAGGAAGGGCAAGTTCACATCTGACTTTGACATTCCCAAGGACCAAGAGCGCCCATGTTTCTAGATCGGGTCCCTGCCACGCCCAGGCACTATTTCCTGAGGCTTGTCATCAACAAAAGTCTGGCAATTAGACAAGCTCAGAAAAAAACTCCCTCACGCTAGGGATGAAGGTAAGAAAGGCTCTTGTTCAACCCAGCTGGACCCCTTTCCTCCCCCTACCCCAAGACCCTGCTGCAAGGAGGCTGAAGGGGTCCCTACTTTCCCTTGCAAAGTTAGCTATAGAAAAGATTCCCTCTCCCGTATATCTTACCTTTGAGATCTTCATCTTCAGTGGTGGTGTTACAGCTTTCTGTGGAGCCCTGCCAGATAAAAAAGAGCATATTACTGCCCATTTTGCCCTCAAAAGCTAGGAGGAGCAGAAAGAAGGGAGTGAGAGGCAGCTCCAAGGAAAACAGGAGTGGGCAATGACTCCTTGAGTCCTCCTATAAAACTCCATCCTTGCCCACCTGAGACACAATGGGGACGACCAAAGAGTAATCAGAGCACAAAGACACTCCTTTCTGAGGACAAAGTACAGCTCCTCCAGGACATCCAGTCAAAAAACCCAGGCTGACTGTCTCCATTTCAGCCTAGGCGCCTGCTGGAAGTGAATGAGGGAAATAAACCCTCAGCATCCCTTAGGGTACAGGACCCAGGGAAATTATCTGACCTTGATCCCTCTTCCCCATTGGTCCTGTACTGACCCCAGGCTGAAAAGGAGGCAGGCACGGCCAAGGACCACACTCACCTTGATCCCGTCTGTTGCATTGTGTACCACGGTGGTTTGGGGTTCCTGTGAGAGGAGAAGAGGGGAGTTGCCCTCCTGTCTTGAGGTAGGGCTGCAGCTCTTCCCAGAGGGGCTCTCTCCAGTTCCCCCAGGGGCACTGTGGCAGCTGCCTGGCAGGAAACCAATCCCAAAGGACCAAGCCATCCAATTCAACCTCAGCTGAAGGACCCTGGCCAAACTGGGTTGCTCAGGGGAGCCTGGGAAATCCTGGGTTTTCAGATAGGAATGGATACTGGTGCCTAACTCTGGAGAGCTAAGGGGAGTTGAGAGGTCATAAGATGATAGATTTGGAGCTGGAAGGGACCTCAGAAGTGATTAAGACCACCTGCCTCATTCTACAAATGAGGAAAATGAGGCCCAGAGAAGCTGTGACTTGCCCAGGGTCACAGCTAGTAGGTTACTGAGGCTGGCTTTGGATCCAAGGTCTTCCTGACACTAAGGCCAACGCTATATTCATTGTACCATGCTTCCTCTCCATATATATAAAAGAGACGTGGAGGGGATGAGAGGTTCTGTTTTGATTTTTCTATTTCACTTCTTTTTTTTTCTCCTTGAAAGACACTCGATCTTCAGAAATCAATGGGAAGCTGGCACCAGAGCAGCCATAAAGTTGGAGACTAACTTCTAGGGAAGGTCAGCTAAGCTCACTAAGGAATACTGAGGAGACAGAGCCCAGAGACTCATGGGCCCTTGAAGGTCATCTCTAGACCCACAAATAAAGAGGTCAGAGGCCAGAGAGATCAAGAGACCTCTCTGCCCGAGGTACTACTGGTAGGTAAATGGGCGGAACCTTCAAACAATTCCAAATGCAGTGTTCAACCAACTACCCTACACTGGGAAGAGGAGAGAGATGAAACAGGAGAGAGGAAGAGAAGTCTCTGCCCCGTGCTAAGTGATGCCTGGGAAGCCTTCTGTTGCTTTTACCTTCCAGCTCCTCCCAAAACTTGTCCTGTCAGAGGACCAGAGCAGGAGGAGAAAGGGCCTGCTACAAACTGGCTGCTACCACCGGCCACGAGAGCACAGCTACCCCTTCAGAAAGAGATCTAAAGGAATAGGAGGAGTTCTGCTGGCTGGGGGGTTCCCTAGGAACTCGTATAAGCTGCTATCTTTAGGAGCCAACTAGTCCAAGCCCTTCATTTTTACAGATGGAAAGAGTGAGAACCAGTGAAATTAAGGGATCTGCCCAAATCACACAGGCAGCAACGTACCAGGTGAGTGCTGAAGACCCAAGTTCAAATCTGACCTCAGACACTTAGCTGTATGACCTCGGGCAAGTCATTTAACTTCTTAGTCTCAGTTTGCTCATCTGTCCAATGAGTTTAAACATCACACCCCTCTCTCACTGGGTTGCTGTGAGTATCAAATGAGAAAACACATCCAAAGTGCCTCCCAAACCATCAGGGCTGGCCTTTAGCAGTAGCTGTTGTAAGTGGCAAAGCTGGGATTTGAAACCAAGCCCTCCTAACTCCACAGCCGGCACTCTTCCCACACGAGGCTGGCAAGACTTAGCCTTCCTTTCTTTTTTTTTTTGTTTGTTTGTTTTGTTTTTGCTAGGCAATTGGGGTTAAGTGACTTGCCCAAGGTCACACAGCTAGTAAGTGTCAAGTGTCTGAGGCCACATTTGAACTCAGGTCCTCCTGACTCCAAGGCCAGAGCTCTATCCACTGTGCCACCTAGCCTTCCTTTCCAGGCAGCCCCGAGCCTGGCCGGCTCCATCACTCAGAGCCCAAGATCAGCTCAGACTCCTCAGTGCCTTTGGCCACACTAACTTCTTATTCTACCCCGACAGCAGTCCCCCTCACGGCCCTGGCCCTCCTGTGAAGGGGGATATAGCTTCACCTCCATCTCCCCTCCCCAAGAGCAGCAGCAGCAGTGGTGGCAGCAGAGGGGTTGGGGAGCAGCAGCCGTGATGGGATCACAGAGTAGGGAGGAAGGCCAAGCAGGGTCAGAGGCGGCCCATGAAAGGGAAGGGGCGTGATGGTGCAAGAAGCTGCTTGCTCTATGGGGGGACGAAAAAGCCAAGAGAGGAGAGGAAGGAGAAGAGGCAGCCCCCGTGGGAGAGGCAGGAGGGGAGGGAGAGAGGCAGAGGCGGGTGAAGGCGGAGAAGCCGGAGTCAGGAGGTACCATGGCCGTCTGCAATGGCGCAGGCTCTTGGACTGGGCTTACGAGACTGTTTTTGTTGTTGCTCTGTAGTTGAGACAAGAAAACAGATGGTTTAGTTCCCCCAGAGTTAACAAAGCAGCCCAGGTTCTTGCCCCAGCCCTCCCTTCAACCCTTATCCCGGCCCCATCGGAGCTGGGCCTGAGGCAGCCTCCACACTACTGTATACATGGCAGCGATGGCTGTGGAGATGGGTGAGAGGAGCAGACAAGAGGCCAGGGGCCCCCCGATGTCGGGGGGGCCATCGAGGTTCCCAGTGCCAAGGGAATCTGGGAATAAGCAGCCTACAGTCTGCACTTCAAGCTCCTCTCTGGCATTTCTTGCTGCTACCAGGTACCAGCTCTTCTCACACATCAAAGAAAATCAGGCCTCTTCTCATTTCACAGAGGCTAAGAAGGTTTTTTATTCCAGGTGACAAAGGGATAAAACCATGACCAGAACCTGAGTGCTGTTTTGGGGCCCACTTCTCTTTTTCCTCCTGATAGCTAAATTAGTCACCTTACAACATCACAGAGTAAAGCTCAATGGAAAAGATACGGATTTTGAGGTCTGCTGTTCCTGCAATAGGAGAGAGACAAACCCAGAGGCAGAAGTGTACCTCTGGGCCCTGGTTTCACTAATGGTTGCCAATTCTTGTCCTGCGGGTCCTAGGTTCAAAACCTATCTGGTGACTCAGAGTGACAAGATAGGGCCATACTGTTCCACTCTCTGCCTGGTAAATGCTAGAACAAATAAGACTATTGGGAAAGAAAGGAAACTACCAGGAACAGCTAGCTACATTCTGCAAGCAGAATTCCATGGCAGGTGAGTGCAGATAGGCTGAGTGTATAGCCAGAAGTGAGGACAGCTGGGTAACTGTAATTATGACTCTCTCTAGCCACAACGTAGCAGCTCCACCCACCGCATGGCAAATAGTAAGCGTCTTAGCAGGAAGATATCTATCCCATGTTGCATCTCCACGGGCCAAGGATGGACACCTGTCTTTCACCAAGACCACAGCCAATTCTGCAGTGGGAAGTGATGGTCTAATCTCCCTTCCCCATGATCGCCTGAACTTAGAGCCCAGAGGACAACCACATTCAGGGATTTCTCAATACTGTTGACAGTCCATGAGACAGCAGCCTTAATCCCTGTGCAACCATATTCCTCAACAGGCTTCCAGTCTCAGCATAGGATAAGGCTCGAAATGAAGGAGAATCATTGATGCTAGATACTCGGTGGTTGGTGGGAAGTAGGCATCTACAACTACACTTTCCACACCTGCACAGATCTCTCTAGTTATACTTGGAGGGACTGAGTAACTGCCTTTCTCTTCTGTCCCTGGGCCTCTCTGTGAGGTCTCTTGTACCAGACCCAAAGCCAACAGAGGAATATTATAGGAATATGTAATGACCAATGATTTTGTCAACACAGGGAACTCTAGCAGCAGGAACTTCCTCCGCCAACCACAGGTTGACTTGAAATCATAGATTTAGAGATGGAAGGGACCTGGAAGGTCATCTTGCCTAACACACTTACAGAGGAAGAAACTGAGGCCCACAGAAGTTAAGTGACCCAAGGCCACACAGGTAATATGTGGCAAAGATTGGATTTGAACCTAAATTCTACCCTTAGGTGGCTTTCAATCCCAAGTTCAAGGTAAGGGATGGTACTTAAGACTTAGTATCAACTGTCACTAGGGAGTCACAGAAATAAGAGACTATGTGCTGGGGCCCCCCTGAAGGGAGAAGGATGAGATCTCAGAGGAAATATCAGGGATCCTGAACCTCTGGTTCATGACAATCCCTGCTCCACAGCAACCCTACCTGCAGTCAGCAGAGAACAAAAGTTATCTCAGTCTGACTGCCAGAGCTGAAACCCTTACATCTGTTAGAAGGTTCTTGGGACAGCCTGTCCCCTCATCTCTGTGCCCCTCACAAAATTCTCCCTGTACAGGTCGGTTAAGGGCAATGCCCACTCCAGTGAATAGCGAGTCATTGTTCCCTTAGGGTTAGTGAACAGTATTAATAACTTCCTCCTGATCTTCTCCATCCTGGGCAAAAAATAAGAGGAACGGAATTTGTGCCCTGACCTCTCATTTTAGTGGCTGCATCTGCATAAGTTCATGGTGCCCTTGTCTCACTGGGTCCCATGGAAAGAAAAAGTATATTCTAGGGAAAGGCTTCTGGCTCTACCAAGGCTTCATTTAATTGGGGAGGGACAGGAAAGACCAAGTCCTGGCTATTGGAGGGAGAATAAGCATTCACACCAGGCCAAAAAGCCAAGAGACCTGAGAACAACAGGGTGCCTAACTTTGTTCTGCTGAATCTCAGAAGAGTGTTTGGAGGCTGCCGTATTGTGAATCTCATTTCAGGAAGGGGCTGCTTATGTCACTGGCCAGGATAAAAAAAAAAAAAACAAAAATAAAAACTTCCCAAAAGAGAGCCAATTTCCTCTCCCTGTGCCTGGAGATCTGCACCAACCCTCTGCATACCAAGGCTACCTCCTGCCCAGGGCTGCAGGGTACAGCCCAACCCCCATGGCAGGGGGTGCCACACCACATTTCAGTGCTCGCTTTCCAGGCCAATTGGGGCTTCAGGGAGGTGAGAATGTCCCTGTGCAATGGCTCCCGCCCAGGAGGATAAGCCACACCTGCCCGCCTGTGACAGATGTGGTGGTAATGAGCACAAGCAGACGTGCATGATATGAGAATGAGTATGCATGGCTGGCGGGTGGGCAGGCAGGCAGCACGGGGTGGGCAGATGGGTGGGCAGGCCGGGCTCACCATCAGGTGCACGCTGGAACTCGACTTCCTTTTCTGGACACACCACAGCGAAAGGGAAAGAGAAGGGGAGAGAGGAAGTGAGAGAAAAAGCACAGAAATGCCTCGGATTAGTGCATTAGAGCAGCGGCTCTGTACCAGGGCAGAGAACAGGGGGAAAGAGACCTAAGTGGCAGGATTAACAAAGCACCTGGGGATATACACAAACACACACACACAGATGTGCACACACCCTGTAAAGAAACAGCCTGGAGCAGGATTCGACACTTTCCCAGCCAACTTCTCAAGACACATTACATATATACATTTGTTGCCTTGGTCAACCCTGTGTTCCAACCAGACTGGCCAGTGTGCCCTGTTCCTACATGACATTCCATCTCTCATCTATGTGACTTGCACAGGCTATCTCTCTCATTGGCTAGGGGATAATGAATGAATGAATGAATGAATACTCTCATTCTTCCTCCTTGAATCAATAATTCCTCTCAAGGTTCAACCCAAGTACCATCTCCTACTGAAGGCTTATCCTGATCTCTGCCTTCTTTCTCCTGTTATTTGCTAGCACCTCTCCCAGAAATTATTTTGTATTTACCTGTGTTCAAGCTATCCATTCACTATGCGAGGAGCTAATGATGCAAAGACAAAAACAAAAAAACCACCATTTTTTTTTAACCAAATTCTTTGGGCAGAAGAACATAAGTTCCTTAAGGTCCAGGACTTATTCTTTCTTTCTGGTTTTTTTGTTTTGTTTTGTTTTTTGTTTTTGGTCTCTGCATCATTAGCTCCTAACATAGTGCTTTATAAAGTATACAGTAGGTACTTTATAAATGCTTGTTGAAAAAAAGAAGCATTATGTGAGCTACTGTTATTATTCTTGACTCTCCTCCCAGACCTGTGGTGGTGGCTGTCTCTTCTTTGTCTCCCTGCTGTTACCACATGTGAAGAAAGGACCCTGGGCGGAAACTCAGAGCCTTACTCCTGTCCCAGTCCTACCTGATGACTTCTTTACACGCACCTTTCAGAGTGATATGGCCATGAACACCTATTCAGGCTTCTGACTCCTGCCAAGGGAGAACCTCCTGAGAAGAGAAACCTACAAATCTAACATGTTGGGACATTTACCATCCTTTCAGAAGTTTGGGTTTTTAAGACCAGTGCACATACTTGAATATTTAAAATGGATTTCTGAGCTCCTCTGCATTAGCAGAGGCTACACACGGCACACAGCACAATCCTATCTGTATCTTCTCATGCCCTCCTCATCTAACCATGTCTTCCCATAAATTATTTACAGAGTCTGTACAACATAAGAGAGGTCTTCTTCTAGATCTGATGTTTTAGGAATATCATTCCATCCATCACTGCCCTCACCATGTGACTGGCCCAGATTTTTTCTGGTTACAACACTGTTCTAATGGTATCTTTCTATAATGTGTCTCCTGCATATTTCTTCATCCAAAATATGCTACATCCTTTTCAATTCATCACCAAATATTTATCAAGGGCCCTATGCACTGAGCAATGGGCATATAAAGACAAAAATGAGACAATCTCTGCCCTCCTACTGAACTCTATGACCCACAACTTGGAATTCTTCCATGATATCTGTGCTCCATACAACTACCTAAAATATACATACTAATGGCTACTTGTTAAATGCCTGTCCATCTATCCACACAGCATAATCAAGACAAGATACAATCTTCATCCACTTGAATTTTTTTCCCTGTGTATAGTTTGGCTGAGTTCTTCTGAGTGATTATAGGAGGGTCTGCAACATTCTGGAGTTTGACATGATCAGCACAATGGAACCTACCAACAGGTCCATCTGGAGGACCCCATCATCTATATGGAATCCCCTTCCAATTTAGACTCCATGAAGGATGTCCATTGAGACAAGGTCAGAAAACTGAAGAGTAAATGGCTCCCTGTTTTATGCCTCATAGGAAATTAATAATCAAGGGGGGTCACAAAGGTCTCTCTTTTAATATCTCTCCAGGAATTTTGTGTAATTTAAAAATATACATGGGAGACACTTTTAAAAAATGTAGTCTGCTGTAAAATGCCATTTATGAACATCTCATACCTTTATCAAGAATGCCCTTAACATGTGTGCAGATTTCCCTCCTTAAGATTTCAGAATTTTTTCCATTTGTCATCTGTTTATTGGCCCCCTTCCAGCTTCACCTAGAAGAACACTGAGGAGGGTGGGTCTCACATAATTGGATCCTCACTATTGTTTTGCCCTCCTTTGCTTCTCAAGTATTTTATGAAGTGATACTCCTCATAATCTTACTTCCTCATCCTTTCCTTAAGAATTTATAAATGTTTATATTCTCAACTTTCGTTGCCTTTGAATGATGTCTCTCTCTGTGCTAGGCAAGATCAAATGTTTGCTGACTGAAGTGGTTTCTAGGCTCTATAAATCTCCTTACTGTGGCAAATGACTTAACATTGGTTAAACCTCCTTAAGGAAACAGTGACAGTCTGTGTTGATGTCTGGGTTTTAAAATCCATTTCCCATTTTTTGGCATCAACAGCTTATTGAAATAGGTCCAGTTGGAGCTGTGTACAATCATATGCCATATCTTCTCATTCTTTCTTTTAATTTGGTGTTGATTTCTGTCTTCGTTCTAACAAGCCAATGACTTAATTCTACCGTTCATTCAGAAATGACTTCCATATTGGTAACCAGTTGATTCCCGTCTACCAGAAGAAAGTTGATTTCGCTTTTTGTGAGGTAACGTGGTGCTCACCATATCCTAGCCCATTCTGGCTCTCTTCTTGAAGAAAAATATTCCCAATGTAGAGGCCTGTGTCACAATAGCTGACATTTATAGGAGTGCTTTGAGGTTTGATGATCTCTTTACAAACATCATTTCATCTGAGCTTCCTAACAATCCTAAGATTGAGCTATTAAATACAACTATTATCTTCATTTTTCAGATGAGGAAACTGAGGTTTGGACAATAACTTGTCTGCGGTCACACAATTCACAAGGCCTGGAGCCAGATCTTTATGATTCCAACACTGTCCACTAGGCCACGATGCTTTCCTATGCAGAGGCAGAATCACATCTTCATTCTCCTTTTCTTATTCCAGAACCATGTTTTACAGCATATTTTTTTGCTGTCCTCCTTTATGTTCACTTCTGCATTGAAATCACCAAATGTTACAAAATGTGTACGCTGATTTTATTTGGGTCAGATCACAGACGGGTACGTCGGCTGCCACTGTCTTTGTGGTGGCCTTTTGGCAAATACTTATCATTGAGCACTAGAAATGAGTTGACCATGTATCCCTTTAAGTGACAGCTCCCGTTCCCTACAATCCTTCATTAAAACCAACTCAGACAAATCTTTTGTTTGCCTAGCCAAAGAGAACCTGAGAACTATCCCACTCAGCTGCAACTTCCTTTCTGCTTCTGGTTTCCTTTAGAACAAGAATGTCAAGATCAATATGTGGTTCCTCCAGCTGTTTGTCTCACCTTATGTGTCTGAGTCACCTGACTGTTCTCACGTAATCATTCTGTGCGCAGGTGGTTCACCAACTTGACTAAATGGCAAATGTCTTTAAGGTAAGGCCAGGCCTGATGATTCTTTTGTGATTCCGTACAAAGCCCCACAGCTAAGCACTCAATAAATCTGTTGCGACTGACTTTATCTAGTATCTGCCAAGGGAATGAAGCTCAAATCTCTCTCCCCAGCCAAGGCCCATCCTCCCCTCTGCCACCTGTGGCTCCTTCATTACCTCTCCCATTTCCTACCCAGTGTCTGCTCCCACTCTGATATGTCCAAAGGGTAGGCTCTAGTTCTGAACCCCTCCTTTCCTAGGGGTAGGAACACACAGGAGCAGCCATGCACACAGAATGAGGGCAGAGGAAAGGAACGGGAAAGAGGAAGAGGTACACGTTCACATCTCAGATGCAGACGCACGTACAGGTCCTAGGGGAAAAGTCCAGTTCAAACATTTTATACACTTGGGCAGTTTTGTGGGTTGAATTCCTTTACAGCAGCCATCACTATGGTACACTATTTTCTGCACCAAGCCTTACCCTTGGAATTTTTTTACTTTCTGACTGTTGTCTCCCCTCTACCCACCTCAACTAAGAGTCCATCAATACATAAAGTTGGTCTTTCCCTTCCCTCACCCATCCATCTTAATGAGGTCCCTTGTTGGTTTCTGGGCTTCTCAAGGTCCAATCCTACTTTCCTTTTCCTGGTTCTGCATGGAAAACTAATTCACCCAAGGTAGAATGGGGGGGGGGGGGAAGAAACCAAACAGCCACACATCTGTCTCTGCTATTTTATGCAACACCTAATCATACTGAGGAAGTTAAAGATATTAACCAAGCAACCTTTAAAAAAAAAAAGAGGGGAAAATCCTAAAGGAGAAGATGACAAGTTCCCAGAGGAGGTACGGTTCAGCTCTTAGGCTCTCCCAAGTGACACTGTTTTGGATGAGTGACCTCCACGTCCCTTAGAGGAGAAACATCATTTCCTTCCTTTCCCTCTGCCCACCGGACTCTGTAGCCTTAAGACAGAAAAGAACTTTGATTTAGAAGGAAAATAGCCAGGCGTGGGATCTTAGGAAGAGAGAGGGAACAAGATGACGGAAGTCCCTGGAGTGGTGCAGTCAGAGTGGGAGTCTCTGTCCCGAGAAGCAGATGAGAAACCTACCTTCACACCTCCATCTGACTTCTTGTTCAACAGGCTTTTGGCAGCTGTGAAGACAAAGCAGAAAATCAGGATTCCTGCAGCATGAACCTCCTCTCTCACTCACTCTCTCTCCAATGTGAATTCGTGGTAGGACGGAAAGACCAAAAGAGCTTTGGGCCTGTCAGAGGCACAACTTCAGGCAAGCCCCCTGACATCCCTCTGGTCTTCAGAACCTACAGAGTACGACCGCCCCATGGAAGAATGTCCGTCTTGGTCCCCCTTGGTTAGAGGGGAGGCAGCATCAGAACTCACTGGGTGCTGGGATCTGGGACCTACTCAGCCCCAAATCTCACCCACCTTGGGACCTACCTCTGTTGCCTTATATTAGGAAATGCTCCATCTCTGGGGAGAAACCATCACTCAGAAAAGGGCCCCAGCACCAAGGGACGAAACTGTTCATTCGGAGCACTCTCTCCAACGACATCTAACCCAGATCCTTGGGAGCCAAGCAGCTGAGGTGAAGGGGATATCGAGACACCCAATTCTCCCTAGGCTCTACTGAGAAACTCAGGATTGCTATCCTCCAAGGCTACAAGATTTCTAAGGCTTCATCAAGAGATAAAGAGATTCACACTGCACAAAGGGGAACAAACATGGGGACATACACACAGACACCGACAGAGACCAGCCTACGGGAGGAAAACAAGCACTTTGTCACAAAGGGGGCTTAAGCCTCAAGGAGGCAGGAATGTGTACATTTGGTTTAATACGAGCCCAGCTCACTCAGCCATCTCCCCAGGGGTTCGCTGCCTTGCCTCACAAGAACAGGAAGGGCTGGCCAGAACAGTAAGATCTCAGAGAGGTTTCAGGTGGGACAGAGCAGCAATGAGCCCTTGTGTTGGAAGACCTGAGGAAGGTGGCTGGCTGAGAAGGCTGGGTCGGGGAGGGGCAGAAAAATGGGCAGGTGCAGAATGTAAGGGGCAAAAGACCAGCTCTCACCGTCTATGCTATTCTCTCAGGGTGGGACGTGGCCCTCCTGCCCTCATCCACTGTACATTCTGAGCCGAGCAGGAGAGAGCTAGAAGTCCTTTGCATCTCAGATGAGGTTAGGGCCCTTTCCCATAAGGCCGCAGATACACCCTAGCCTGACCCATCAATGCTTGCAAGGTGGGGTGGGGAATATTCTTTGATACGGCCTATTCCTTAGGAAGTGGGACCGACCTGTCCGTTCTCTTCCCCAGGAGGGGCCGAGAGCTCTGGATCTGGGATGCTTTGTCTGCTCTCTGGATTCTTGAGAAGCAGTAATTGGGGCTCATCGCAGCTACTAGTAGGCTCTATGCCACACCCACTGCTGCCCCAGGGGGCTGCCTGACCAGCCTCCATCCCTCGCCGCCATGAGTATTTTGTTGGCCAGGATGTACCAGACAGCTCGAGTTCTCAGGCAGCCTAGAGGAAATTCCTGTCACTGCCCAGCTCCATTTTTCCCCCAGGCTACAGCCCCCTGAGAGTCAGCAAGCGCCCAGCATGCAGAGCTGGTTAGTGGGCTCAGTATTGCCAGTGCACTGACGATGCCAGGTTAGGTGGTCCGTTCCGCATGCCAATCTCAGCCAGCAAGCATGGGTGGCACCTCCCTGGTGAGTGGGCCTGACATGCTGGCCCCTCCTGGTAGGATGGGAGAGGGCTGGGTCAGGCAGGCGGGGAGGACTCATGCCACGTACCTTGCCCGGCCAGGCCGGCGGCGCTCACGGCGGCCAAGGCGGGGGCGGAGCTCTGCCTGCCAACTGAGGGGATACAATCTCTCAGTGCTAAGAGCCGCCACGAAGCCACAGTGGCCAATCAGCAGCTAGCATGCCTGAGCGTGAGACGTGGGCGAGAAGAAGGGAGCCCACTCACAGCCCACGCACACCAGGGCCAAGGGCATCGTGGCCAAGCCAGCCGAGCTGGGAGGAGCAGGAGCGTCTGAGGGGGAAGGGTAACGAGGCAACTGTTGCCCTTCAGCAAAGTGGAGTGGGTGGGAATGGAGGACTGGAGGTCTTTGAAAGGGCCGGGGGTGGGACGGGACATCAAAACTCCACCACGTGGAAAGAGGCTCCACCCTGCCCCCCAATGTACCCCACACACACCAAGCTCATTTTGGAGACAGACAAGACCCACAGAAACCACGTGTCCTGTCCACGCCCCAGAAAATGGGGTACATGCTGATTTTCTAGGTGTGGGCTCAGAACCGGACAGAGGCGTGAGGGAACAGAGAATCCTACCTCGAGAACAACTTCCTTCCCTAATGCCTGAGCCAGTAGATCCAATGGCCTCCCTGGGGGCCATGCTGGACGGAGGGGAGCCAACCCCTGGGCTCCACCACCTTCCAAACCCTGGAGAAACCTTGGCCCCCAGGGCTCTGAGGAAGAGTTACAGCCCATATGCTGCCGATGCTTAATCAGGGTCCTAGTCCTCGACAGTGATCTCCAATCTCCCTGGCTCCTCCCTCCTTGATTCCCTCCTAGTTAGACAGAGGACGCTGGTTCTCTAAGTACATACATTTGGATCGGACGGCACCCCAGGGACAAGCACTCAGAAAAGAAGCAAATGGAGGTAACTGAAGCAAATGATCCCTACCAGCACAAACCTCAATTTTACAATTAGCCAAGATCCCCGCATCCAGCAGATAAATAGCATCCCAGCCAAACCAGCTTCTTGGCCGGTCCCCAAATTTAATTCTCCATGTCTTACTCGCACCCATTCAAACTGGCTGGTCCTCATGTCTGCAACTTATTCCATCATCTCTGCCTCTGAGAATCCTTCCCCCTTCTTTAAGGCTTAGCGTGAATGCTACCTCTTCCAGGAAGCCTTCATGGATTTCCCCACCTGTTAGAATTTTCTCCTGCCTCAAAATATCTATAACGTAACCAGGTACATCTGGTAGCCTTTTGGTAGAACATAAAATTCTTAAGGGCAGAAGCTGTTTTGTTTTGGTCTTTGTGCTGGCAATAACTAACTGGGAGAGTGCCTGCCCCAAAGTGGGCGCTGACACTTAATCTAGGCTTAATTGATCTATATTCATTCCAGCTTCTAATCAAGAAAAGCTCACAGTCTTTCCCTTATTAGGAATATTAAGCATCTCTTCTCACGGGAGCTCTTGAAGACAGCATCTGCTCCATAGTTATTCCAGGGAGTAGGGTAGGAAGAGGTCAGCCTGAGGGAGTGCCTCCAGTGGGTCAGCTCAATGCCAAGTTCAAGGACACTTTTCTGTCTCATATCTCCCCTGCCCAAGGCAGCTCACGGGGCAGAGAGAACTCAGCAAAATTCTAAGGCTCCTCAGGGATCAGGGTGAAATGCCTTTCTTTTCCTTACCAAGAATCTAACCCACAGGGGATCAGCCACTCTTGGCTACCCTGGAAGGCAGCACAGAAGAGCTGACCCTAAAGGGGAGGTCTAGGGCCAGAAGGTACCCTCAAGACATGAGAAAGGACAGAATTATGGCTCTAACTTCAACATAAAAATGCCACTGGGACTGTCCAGTAATTTCAGCATGACCGAATTTGGGCATCAGAAGTACTGAGTAATTAGGGGCTAAGAACCAGGTTGTAGGAGTCTAGTTTAAATCCCTAGGAGAAATCAGCTAGACTCGCTCTCAGTTCCATTTTTTGTAGGGCTGTCAAACTCACCCCTCATCTTAAGAATATACCAGAAACAGCTTCAAGGGTAACACTCAAAGAAGGTAATATTTCATTGTCAAAGGGACAGAAAGGCCTTATGGTCATTGGTCACTCCCTAACCCTCCAGATGTCTTATTTCTAAGCTGCAAAGCTTGCTGTTCTCATGCACTGTTACCCTAAAAGTCCATGCTTTTATTCTTCCCAGAACAAGGGTATAACCCCATTCTGCCTGAGGTCAGTGGGCAGTGCTTTCTGAAATGTCCTCCTCCTATCAAGTTTTCCATTGAGTACATTACAGCAGGCTGACATCACTGAGCAGCAAAGATATGAGAGAAAGAATGGAACTGAGAGGAAAAGGGAAAAAAAAAAACCCAACAACAAACCTAGAGGAATGAATGACAGAGAGGAAACTCCTGACCCAAAGAGGCATGATTAGTAGCATCTGGAGAGAAAGGACACTCTCCTTTTCATCTAAGCCATGCTGGTTGGACTCCTTGCAGCTGCCCTGGGCCAGGAAGCCCCGTGAGAAGACAGGATAGGAAGGCGCACAGGACATGGTAATGTGGAGGCTGATCTCTCAATTACGTTCCCCATCTTTCCCACACACTCACATGATCAAGCCA